AACTGCAACTTAGTTATTCTTTCACTTTGGAAATGTAATTTAAACCCCAGGCATGGTAGGACACACGTTCGTGGTGCTCTTTACAGATCTCGGGCCTGCTGTAGCATCCCTGATCAGCACTGTGCCAAGAACCTCCTCCCCTTCCACAGCAGTGGATGGAGCGGTAAGCTGAAAAACCCCAACCTTCAGGAGGCGTTTCTAATACATGATTCACTGTACTTCCTGCTGCTTCTTTAACTGTATCATGTTCTGTCTTGTCTATATCCTGTCACTATCCTTACTTGCTGTCCAAAAAAAAAAAAAAAAAAGCAACCCTCTCCCAAAGAGTCTGAAGCCCCCTGTGTAACTACTGATTCACCTCCATCTGTTGAACCAGCTACAGTGAGTATTGAGGCTGAATATGGTGTTACTCTGCTTTGATGGAAAGGAATAACAGGCTTAGTGTGCTGAACTGCTGAATAACAAAACGCTCCATGGAACTAACCAAGGGCTTATACCTCTGTCTCAAAAGGTTTCTCTAATGATGAGCAGTTGCTGTCTGGTTTTTATGGAATAGAGGCAATGAGATCTTTCTTGTTAAGGACTGCAGGCAAACACTTTGGAGTGACTACAACAATAATCCTAAGAAGCTGACTTACCCGTGGTATTTAAGCACAATTCCATATGTAATTCAAGGGGCCAGGCCCTTTACCGAAGGGGTGGCTGCCGGGGACACTTTGGAAGGGATTGAACTTTTCTTTAGTATAGCTTTAGCCAGAGAAAACCTGTCATCTCGGAATGTACACAAGCACTCGCTCCTAGGTAGTGCAAGCAGTGTTCTGGGTGATGGGACATGATGGTGCTGTAACTTTCCCCATTTTCTACTTGGTTAATGTTGTTTGCGGTGTTTGGTGGCATTTGTTTTCTTCCTTTTTTGTTTTCTTCCTTTTTTGTTTTCTTCCTTTTTTGTTTTCTTCCTTTTTTGTTTTCTTCCTTTTTTGTTTTCTTCCTTTTTTGTTTTCTTCCTTTTTTGTTTTCTTCCTTTTTTGTTTTCTTCCTTTTTTGTTTTCTTCCTTTTTTGTTTTCTTCCTTTTTTGTTTTCTTCCTTTTTTGTTTTCTTCCTTTTTTGTTTTCTTCCTTTTTTGTTTTCTTCCTTTTTTGTTTTCTTCCTTTTTTGTTTTCTTCCTTTTTTGTTTTCTTCCTTTTTTGTTTTCTTCCTTTTTTGTTTTCTTCCTTTTTTGTTTTCTTCCTTTTTTGTTTTCTTCCTTTTTTGTTTTCTTCCTTTTTTGTTTTCTTCCTTTTTTGTTTTCTTCCTTTTTTGTTTTCTTCCTTTTTTGTTTTCTTCCTTTTTTGTTTTCTTCCTTTTTTGTTTTCTTCCTTTTTTGTTTTCTTCCTTTTTTGTTTTCTTCCTTTTTTGTTTTCCCCCCCTTCTCTTTCACCTCTTGGCCCCTGGGTGAATGTTTGTGGCGTTCAGCAGTGCCAGTGCTTCTGATGCAGTAACGCGCTGCAGTATAACCTCCTCCTCTCGTGCAGAATGCCAGTCCCAAAGGCCCACCTTCTTTCCCGGCGACACCTATCATGACCTCCCCAGTGATGGGACCTCCGCCTCCGCCGCCTGTTCGCTACGGACCGCCGCCAGCCCCTCCCCGTGGGCACTTTGGGCCGCGACCTCTTCCTGTGCCCTTAGGTACCGTCGCACCGCTCTGTGCTGGAGCTGGAACTTCGCCTTCTCCCCCACTGGGCTTCTTGGAGGGCCGCTGGGGGAGGGCGCTCTGCCGGCCCTCGGCACACCGCTTCCCCACGCCTCACGGGGTCTAGCGGTCTTGATCACTAAGCTTGGACGGGTGGGGTTTTTTCAAGTCTCCTTAGTGCCAAGGTGTTAAGGAGGTATTTTTCCCTGTTTAGTCTAAAATGGAAACCAGCAGCCTAAGGTCACTAGAATGCAATTCGTGGCCTGTGAAGTCTGCGTGGCAGTGACCCACCCCAGAGCTGCTCCTAAAATATGAAGAAATGAGGAACGAGTCAGGAGGGTCACCGTTTAGCGTAGAGCAAGGTTTCATTTAACCCCATGTTTTCCTCTCCTCCTAGTCCGTGGTGCTCCCTTGCCACCTCCAGCTGCAAGAGATTTCCTACCCGGCCCACCCTTAGGAATGAGAGATCTGCCTCCTGGCCCGCTGCCGCCTCCTCCAGACCCAAGAGGCTACGGACGTGGGCACCCTCCTTTCCGGCCCCTGGGTCCTCCTGGCCCCAGAGATTATCCTCCAGGCCCCCGGCTACCCCTGCCTGGCTCGAGAGACTATACGCCTTCTCCCAACAGAGACTTGCCGCCACCGGGACCCAGAGACTACCCCGCGGGCGCCCCCCCGGCCCCGGCGGGCTCCCAGGACTACGCACAGCCTGCAGCGCCGAAACCCTAACTGCAGCCTCTGGTCCGCAGCTCGGCCCCCCGGACTCTAGCGCAGTTCCTGCGGTCAGGATTTTAGGAAATGGCTCTCGACTTGAAGCCATAGGCCTCATTTCAGTATACTTCAGCTTTTGCGGGATTAATTTTTATCCAATTGCTACAGACATGTGCATTTATGATCACCTTAAACTCATCCATCCCCTTGGGCTGCAAGAACCGTTTTGTGATGGACTTGAACCTACTCTAAACGTGCAATAGAAAGGAAGTACCTGTGTGGCTAGTTTTAATTAAATGTAGCCTCTGTAACCAGTTGGTGAATGAACTAATTTCGTGAAAAATGTAAATCAAATCATTTCCTGTGGAAATAATTTTTAAGTAAAATGCTATCCTACCTGCCTTCTCCATCACATCATTCAGCTGCAGTTACTGTAGGCCAGGGGTTTACATGAGGACTGTGAGGTGGTTTTTTTGTTTGGTTTGGTTTTTTTTTTTTTTTTTTAAAGATGCCTGGTCTGAGATCAGAAGCACAAATGACACTGTATTCAAAGGAAGGTTATAATAAAAAGCAAAATTCCTTTTGCTAAACCCTGAAGGCTCTGTTTCAGTGCCCTTTTTTGTTCAGAAGGGCCATTGGCTCAGTAATTTAACCAGAGACTGCCACAGCTGGGACCAAGCTCAAGATTCAAATTGAGTCTGAGTAACTGCTGCTGCATGGCAGGGACTGTGTTACCTTCTGCTGCCCCAGCCTGGCAGGTGGGGACTGGTGTCCCTTCGGGAGAGCCGGGGGGGGGACAGCCCCCCCTGCAGCTGGAGGGCCGGCCAGAGCTGGGAACCTCCCTCCAGCTCTGGAGTTAGCCTGGAAATAGAGGTGAATGCTCCAGGATTCTAAAATCTAAGAAATTTCATAATCGCTTTCAAGATTGGCTTCCAGCATTAAACAAGATGTGAGAGCTGAGCTTTCATCTTAGTATTTAAGACCAATTCAGCTTCTTTAACAGTAAAGCTGTATTTTTACAGCCGCCTTCTCTTACATTAAAAAAAGTAGTTTTCCATAAAGTGGAACGTGTGTGTGTATACAAACCACGTTAACCAGTAGTGCTTTAAATCACTTTGCACACACAGAACATGGGACGTCTCTAACCCCCCCCTCCAGCTGTCACTGTTGAAGGAAGTCCCCGACTGTAAGTGGTGTTAGTACAAGGGTGGGGATGTAGTGCTTGGCGCAGCAGGCCCCTTACTAGCTCACACACTGAGGTTTTTCAACAGTGCTCAGTACAAAAGTGAGCCTTGGGGAGGTAAAAAAAAAAAAAAAGGAAAACAACTAAGAATAATAAACCCTCCTGAAAGGCCATTACAGGTTTACTGGCACAGTACAAGCAGCCATTCAACTTGGCATCGAGGTGTTACATGCTTACAGTACAGGGGTTAAGCTTGAGATTGAAGATGAAAGACAAGACAGAACATCACTGCAGTATAAGACAATACAAGAGCTTGTGCTGCGGGGAGGAGTCGCCCTTTCAGTGAGAGACAGTTCACAGAAAAAACACAAAGGAGAGAAGCAACTTTAAAAATGGTATTTCGCACTCAACAGACATTAATTCACAATTAGTTAAATACAAGGCTCTAGTGTGTATTTAACAAAAATACTTCCGAGTTGACATTTCCTACACCCCGAGTCAATACAGCCACCTCTGGGCCAGGGCTGGGCGGTTTGTGGTGCCGTGGAGGGGTTCACCAAGCCCCTGCTCTTCCCTGCCCCAACACCCCCCTTGGCTGGGGGAGCATCCCTTCCCCAAAGGGGGGGGGGGGGGCCACACAGCTGACCCCTGTGCTTTTACCAGGCCCTGCAGCCCCCAGGGTGGGCAGCACCAGGACAGAGCCCCGGGGTCGTCCCCGCAACACTTGGTGCTGTGGCTTCCCAGGAGGGGACCTGAGCCAGGCAGGGAGCAGACCCCAGGTTAGTGGCAGCTGTAGGTCAGGCTGTGCTCCAGCCTTCGGCAGAGTTCAAAGGATCGCTTGCTTTCAAATTTTTTTAAGAATGCATGTATCCTCCTTTTGTCTGGTATCCAGAATGCTGCATTTAGAGGTATTTCCTGAACTCATCAGGATATCATTTCAGGGCTTGATATTCAATGTATCAGATGTAATACCATTGGAGTACTGTAAAAAGCCATAAACAGATAAATTCAATTGCATTTTCTACCCCCCTCCAGTAGTAGAACTGGGAGAAGTGGTGCCGACTTTTGTCATAACCCCTAAATGTCATCCCCACAGAGGGAAGGCAAGAAGATCAGGACATTCAGAACTAGCCTTTTATCCTAATCAATAGGGTCAGGCCAAAGATGCTGCACAGCTGCTTGCAGACAGACAAATACCATGAGGAAAAGGAACATCCTTCCATTAAAGCATAATGTAACATCTTGGGGTTACGTGACAGAGAAGAGGACTTGGTGATACATCTGCCTCCAGACTGTTTGAAATAAACCTACTATTTGGCACTATTTTGGGAGCTGGATCTTTCGTTAGCATAGCAGAGTACTCAGGCTCTAGTTAGATATGACAAAGTGTATCAAACCTTAAAGTACTGTATTAAACATCCACGCAAATATATGAAAGATTTGACTGGGTTCTACTTCTGTCCCTTTATTAGGTCACAAGGTGAATGCAAGTGTGTCATAATAAGCCAATGTCCTGCAGCTTATTACACACCAAATCAAAAATATAGAAAATAAATGATAATCCTATCTACTTACATAAAAAGGTAATTTTTAGAGTAAGTTTCCAGACTTGCATAAAATATGCAGAAAACTGCATACAATCAGTTTCCATAAGAACAGCAGTTTCATGTAAAAGGTGGGTCAACCTGCTAGCCAGATCTGCTTTACCAAAAGCTCTGGAAAAATCGACTCTTGAACACCGAGGGGCCTGTCCTGCTGCCACTGAAACAGTGAAGCACCCGCCGCCGCCAGGACGAAGCCCTGCAGAAAGCCTCTCTGCCTCCCCCACCCACCTTTGCAAATCACTCTGGGACAACATACAGAAAAATTAGCTCTATTAGGGAGTAAGGGTGATTTACAGGATTATAACATGTATTGTATCCAAAACTCAGTACAAGTGGATCAGGCAAAGCTGTTAAAATCATAGTTCTGTGTTCTCATCTGCAGTTGTCCTCCTCCCGGCCCAACCAAAGCAGCACAGCTGGCTGAGGAGCCCTTCCACAGCCCCCCCGCTTGACCCAGCACCCTCCTCTCTCTCTCTCTTTTTAAATCACTTGCAGTACCTCAAGCTCCTTCCCGCCCCACCTCGCCTTTCTCCCGGCCTTCTCCCACCCAGCCCGCTACAGAGGACTCCAAAATGCAGATGAGAGGAACTACAATAGCACAGCAAGTGTAAACAGTTAGTAGGCCTGCCACGTCTTTATTGCTACAGGTTTGGCAAAGGGGCAGTCTCCATCCTTAGGTGGAGTTTGAGGCAAAAGGATAATAACGGTTAAGATGAAAAGTGATGAACAGCAAAATTAGGAAAAGCAGTCAACGTATTTCAGGGCTCTCAGAAAAACCTGTGTGTGGAAGGTACTGAAAAAAACTCTTGCACTTGGATGGTAGGCTTGCCTCTGACCCTGAAGTAGTGCTGTGCAGTGTGGGATGGTCCCGGCTGACCTACTGGCATGAATACAGTCGTGTTCCTGCCCCCGGAAGGCTAAGGCTACTACACACAGCTACCATGACTTGTGGTTCAGTTCACAGAAGTCTCACAACTAGGGTCATTCCTTGTGCAATGTTTGATGGAGGTGAAGGTAAAGTGGTTTCTTGGTCAACAGTTGCAATTTCTTCCTTTTAAAGTCAGTGGGTTTTTTGTACCTGTAACCACAAGAAAGTCAGTTAATCCAAGTGCTAATGGCTGCGTAGGAAGATGAAAGCGTAACCAGAAAGCGTGTCCTGTACAGATCTTACTACCGTAATCTTTTAAACACATCTGACAAGACATACTGGAAGCAACAACAAGTAGATTTACAGAAAGAAACACAAACCAGTGTTCTTCTCTGGATTATTATTTTAACAAAAAGATTTCCATTTTTAAATGAATGTAGGAGTTTTGTAAGAATTCCCAGTGCAATACTCTGGACTGCAGGAGATGCAGTATCAGCTACTCAGTACTTCACAAGTACTCCAGCTAGCACAGACTAAGCACTCTTCCTAGAGATGCCCAGGATTGCAAGGTTCACCCTCTTCCTGAAAAAAAAAAAAATCCTCCAAAGCCTTCCTCAGACCTTCAACCACCCAGTAAGAGAAGGATGCACATCACAACCGCTGCAGCATAACAAGCTAACCTATTTCTTTGTGTACTTAGAGTGGGAGAAAACACAACCACCCAACGATGCTTTGGAGCGTTCATAAAATTCAGTTGCCCATCAGTATCCCACGTCTCAAATCAGATTTCCTTTACAGAAGTTCTGTACCAAAAGACTGTGTGAGTTGTTTTGTTTTAAACACAGCTGATCTGATACTCAAGCTAAGGTCAGAATTAAAAACTTCCATACAGAATTTGCTAACTTCATACAAAATTTAGTTACCAACACCATTTTATTTGGAAATAGTCTAGTTTTAGAGAAGGGTCTCTAGCCACTTTATTTGCCTAAAATCACTTTATCTTCCCTTATTCATTAAAAATAGAATATTTCTTATGAAAGACAATCTAGGAAGTCCAAGAAACCTCCTTGCTGCAACAAGCCACACATCGTAACTGAAGTCTAGTTCATTTCCCCTGTCATTGGCATCTATAATTGCGAGTCACTTACAGTTCTATAACAATTGCCCCAGGTTTAATTTCATCCATCTCCATGAAAGCAAAGCACTTGGTGCTAGTAAACCTTTTCTTAGGCTTGTAGTGTTTGAATTCAAAGAAAATAGCTGCACCTAGAGTGGAAAATGGTGTAATAGAAAAGTTAGCAATTACAACCAATAGTTATCGGAAAACTTATCTGCCATTAACATGCTCTACATGCATTGGAGGGAATTATCTCCAACACTTCTGTTATTTACTCAAAAGCTATACCATGTCCTTACAATGCTCACCACACTCACAAGAGCTTGTACTCTTCACTCAGTTATTCATATCCAGGTAAGAGTTTGTCCAGTGACTAAGAAGGTGATAAAGCAGCTCAACACCTGTGTGGTAGATCAAACGGCTGCATTTTTATCTCTTTTCCTCCCTTGTCTGCAAGTCATCACAATGACCAACTTGAAGAGAGACAGGATGCAAAGGTCTATTTTTATCCTTGTCTGGATCTTGAGCCCTGCAGCAGCAGCTCAGGCACAGCCTGTTTATTAGATCAGGAGCAGCCTAGTGTCTACACTTTCAAAGCTCCTGGGCCCTGTTCCAGGTCTCTGACACCACGTACCTTTTGTTAGTTTTTCAATGTGTTTCTGAATCTCGATGTCCACATTAAAATGGACATATGTGTCCTCCTTCCTCAAAGCCACAGGAGTATCTTGTACAGGAGTCAGATCTATCCCATTCAAATCTGCAGGAAAGAAACAACATGAGAATGGCAGAAGCTTCTCAGACTTTAAGGTCCTGCTTTAAGAGGTTTGAATCACTCCTAATATTGCCACAAAAAGTTAAAGCACACCTGGACTATTCCCTGAAACTTAAAAAAAGGGGCAATAGTGCCCCCTTCACAGTCAGTGCCTTATTCTTTTTGATTGCAACATGAAAATAGGTAAAGATCTGACAACATTTAAGATAAAAATTTAGAATTATCCCTCTTATTTTCAAGAGCATGTTTCTTTCTGCTGCCAGCAAAGGATTCCATTCTCTCTGCAAGCAGGACTCCAGCAGAGCTTCAGCCCAACCGGCAGAGCGGGGTAGGCACCGAGGGCTGCGCCCCACACAGGGCCGGGGGGGCACGGCCTACACGGCTCATGCAAGCTGTCTATGCCCTGCTTTGCTGCCTAGCCTCAACGTGCATTGTTCCTCCTGCTTTTTCCACAGGCAGAGGCATGGTGGGGCCATGGGATGGACTGGAGCTCTCAGCGCCAGCCACCAGGCGTGCTGCTCAGGCACAGCCACCACAGATGGTACCGCTTCTCACTAGTCCTCCGCTGTTTATACATTTGTCCTCTTACTCCTTCTCTTCTCATTAGTGATCCCTTTCCCTCAGGTGGAGCAAAGTTGCTAAGGACGTGGCCAAGATCACAAGTACAGAGCGCGTGCGCTGTGTGGGGGGTACAGGCCGGGGCCCTGCAGCGCCACTGACGAGCTTTATCCAGGGAGTGGGCTGGGACCACCAATGTTGCATCAGGAACAAACCTCTCTCCAAACCTGCAGAAGAGCAACCTGACGCAGAACCAAGGAAAACAGCTACTAAGAATCTTCAGACTCCTAATAGGGACAAAAGGACTTTTCAGGGTCACTCTTCCTCGCCAAAAATCTTGAGAAATAAAGTATAAAAAGTCACCGGTAACAGACTAGGCAATAGCCCACCCATGAACACTTTTTGATCCTATTTTCCACATCATTACCCGGCAGCCACCATTTATAGGAGCTTGCAAATAGAGAGCCACATGTTAAAAGAAGGACATTTGGGGAAAGTAAGCCTAGCAATATACAGTCTCTCTTAATTCCAGAAAGGAAGTGAGTGCTTGCCTTCAGAGCTAGCAACAGTTTTAATAATACGTAATAAGTTAAGAAAGACAAACACTTCAGTGGCAAGGAACAACGAATGTTTGCTTTACAAGTTCTGATAAGTTCCAAGATCCAATGTTAGAACCCCATTAGGGCTGGTATTTTCCTGTTGGCCGAGAGAAACTCAGCATGAAAGAATTAAATTTGATTAAACCCACATCCACCCAGCTAGCCCCACCACTGAAGTCATCCATCCCTCTGCTTTCTGGCATACTAGAGGCAGAGAAAGATCCACAAGTGACGAGAGAAATGGAGCCTGAAGAATAGTTACACAATCTAAAAATAATGCTGCAAACCTAAGGCAACACCATAAACAAAGAAATACTGCATGTTTCCAAGAATGAAAACAAAAAGGCAGTTGTATCAGCTGGGGAAGGCAAAAGTCATGCTCCAGCTTCCACCCCAACCAGGTGAACTCCTTAAAGGTCCAGTGAGAAGTGGAAGGCTTCACCGCTGAAAAAATCATCAGAAGAAGTGGGATTAGATAAAGTTTTCTATCTATATATTTTGGCAGGTAACACTTGTGAATATCACTGCGATTCAAGTGACATTCAATACTACGCCCCCTACTTCTGCCAAAGAACTTGTCTGGTGGAGGTAGCACTCGATCACACAACTCAAGTATTTCCTCCCTACATTTGGTATCCAATAGCACATCTAGAGGATGCATACGAGGTCACTATCACAACTGAAAATAACTAGAGGCTGTTGGCTCAGCTACAAATTTTTATATGATAAACAAAAAAAAAAAATCATACACTTCAAAAGATTGTGAAGATAAGCAGCAGTCAAGCAGGGCAGGTTAAGGGTAAGCAAATCTGACTACAGGGGCTTCCTGCTAAGAAATGCCAAATGGGGAGGAGGCAGATGCTCCCACTAGAAAGAGTCTGAATACCAAAAATCTCAGCCTCGAGCAAAAGACATCAACCATGTTGTCATCTGAAACCGTGAGAAATCCTTACGTTGCCTGTGCTGGTCTGAGAGAGGTTCTTCCAGATTCATGGGGGCTCTCAGGAGGGGAGGCTCTTAGCCCACGTGGCTTTGGCTGAAATATTTCACTGCCCAGGCTAAACCATATTTTATATTTTATTTCACTTGCAAGCTTTGGCATCCAGCTTCCTCCATTCCTCTAAACCTTAAGCCTTGGTAAGATGATCTTTGTTTTACTGAAAAATTAGTTTAATGACAGGGCAAGAATGAAGTCAGCAGGCTGTGGTTCACCGTCTCCAGAAAGTCCAGAGACCAATATGTGTTGGGGAGTACAAGGAGTCCAAGCAGTTCTGTTCTTAAGAGTCAGCTGAAGAAGCTGGAATAAGAGAAGTACAGCCTGCCAAGTCACTCATACTCAGCTCCCAGCATGGGGAAGGCACCCCGGAGTGCACAGATCAGCCTGTCTCCTGCAGTGATTCACCTCCCAGTATCAGAATAAAACACAGAAATACAGAATTTTTCCACTCTTAATTAAAGCAGAAATCTTAAGTCCACAACAGAAAATGCAAGTACCAACAAATAGTTTTTCCAGCAGGTTGAAAAATCAATACAGCTTTCTGAAAACGCACTCTCTCCAAACTAGAAATGAGGAGCCAGGAACAGAAATCATTACCCTTTACACTGACTGTGATGTAAGGATCAATGCACTGCCCAGCATCTTTCAGACCAATTTTCTCTATGTTGATGGTGAGTAATGTCATCCCGGGTTCAGATGGCAATCTGGGTAATAAAGTACCTGGAAAGAGTAAAGCATATTATTAACCCTTTGTGTCATCTTATAGCAGAGGCCTTCCTTATCCCATCATCCCTCATGGAAGATGCTGTTCTTAGGGGGTTCAAGGCCCAAAAATTCACATCCCAGTAGAACACAGCACTACAGGAAAGTCTGTGTGCACAGACACACAACATCATTTGACAGATTTCAAAGTCCACACCAAAAAACCCCAGGACTGCCTTGGGTCAAATGAATTCATAAAAAACTAATGCTGTAAGAACAGAGAGGAGCTTTGTTTAAAGTGTTCTTTCTTGCTCTCATGCGGAGTAACTCATCCATGGAACCCACTTTTATAATTTTTAAGGATTAAATCTGAGAGGCTGGATTCAATCTGCAGTTGCAGGAAGTTCAGACACTTAATCTGAAGCCCCACCCCATTGAACATGCCTTGGCTTCATGTTGAACGTTCAGACTGGGAGGATAAGGAGGAAAATGGCATTGTTGCAAATCCCACTGGGCACAAGGGAACCAGAAGGGAGATTTTTATTTAAGTTCTACTGGCCTCTACTTAAAGGAAAAAAAAAATTAAAAAATTAGTGTTTGCATCCCCTGAGTTCCCTTCTGTTTTAAGGAAAGAGTTCCCAGATCTGCATTGAGAATATTTAGCATCAAAACGTGGTGGTCAGCACAAATGAATCCTCACAGTGCTGAGGAGGACAGTGCAGCTGGCAAGAAATCCAAACTGTTCAAACTCACTAAAAGCCATGAGATTATGTTATCAACAGTGGAGTAAGTTTCTTCATGCTGATTTTAGCAAAAACTGCCAGGCTTCAAGCACCTCTCCAGTAGTAGACGAATAAGCACCAAGACAGGAAATGCTCAGACCCATGAGCAAGTTTGATTTAAAGTTTTGGTTTTATAATTATAAAAAAATAAATATATATAAAAAATTCCAAGGCTTGAGATCTAAACAAAGTAGTAGTTTTCTCTGACAAATCCAATACGGATTTTCCTTGATACCTTTTATCCTCCTGATCTGCTTGAGGAGCTGGAGAACCAAGGAGTTTTTTTTCTTATTAGAGACAGGCTTTGCAAAAGGAGACCATGTACTCTGCTCTTAAATCTAGAGCCACAGTTTCAGCAAGATTTCATGAGCATTCCCACACCCAGTCCCTCTTTCAGGATCATCAGCAAGACTTGAATTCACATCTGTGAAGCAGTACGTTTCTGTATTTCCTGCCCTGGTTACTATCAGACTCCTGACCTCCAAGGTACATCTGCAGACAACATATCACGGCAGAATTCGGCCCACCATTTTGAAGTAATGGGACAGGCTTCTGACTATAGAATGAGAAATGTTAAAAAGCAAACTTTAATTGGAGCACCCATTTCTGCCAAGGAGCATACACACTCTAGGTAATCTCTCTTGAACAGATGTTCAAAGGCAGAATTCTTATTTCAATCTAAATGAAAGCAGAAACAATTCCGTCTTCTCTATGGCACAAAACTTTGCTCTGCCATCTTTCAGTTGTCTCCTAAAAGCAGCACGCCCCCCGCAACAGCCACAAACAACTGTTACCTTCAGTTCTCCTATCCATCACTCAAAGGGACTGAGTGATGGGATACTTGACAGAAAAATCACCTGAAAGATGCATCAGACTGGCATTTATTACAAGAATAGTGGCTTAAGAAAAATTATTCTGTTCTTGAAAAATGCTTTCCAGAATGTGTGAAATTGCGGAGTTGCAACGAACAGAAAAGTCAAGCTCACTTCCAGGAGGTAGAAGAACATAGGACAGATGGTCTCCAAGGAACACTGTTTCCTTCCAGCCTCAGGAGGAAGAAGTCAAGTCAGCAATGGACTAAAGCAGCTGCCTGTGACCTGCCTCATGCGAGCCACAACCAGCTCAGGAGGTCTTCTGCTGAAGACTCTGCCATCATTTCACACAGGAGCCATTAGCTGACAGTAACCTCCCTGTGGGGTAACTTTGCTAGGGCTGGGCACGGCACCACCAGTCCACCACCATGGCCTGGGCCTGTTAGCCTTCAGCAGGCTCACACTGTGGCTTTTCATGAGAAAACCGCCAGCCATTTCAGACACAACCACAGGGCATCGCTGCCAGAGGGGGGAAGGGACCATCTACAGATTAAATAAGGGTCCTCCTACAAGTCCATTTCAGATACACAAAGGTGAGCCAACCCAACAGCTCACTGCCACCAAGACACAGGCATTCAGTCCCTCTGTTCCCAAACCTCGATTCAAAGAAAATGGGAAAAAGTGACAAGTCTCCTGCTGGGTTCACAAATGGAAGTGGTTCACAGAGGAATCTGCTGCCCGCACAGCACTGGAATACAGAAGTATATAACCAGGAGAAAGGCAGGAAACCTTTGCTGTTAGAGGCAGCAAGCCATTGGTCAGTTCAGCTCCACACAGAACAGAAGTCTAACTACATAAGTACTCTTTGTGTAAGATTTCCCACAAATCATGTATTCCACTAAAGAAAATATAGCTACACCTACCTTTGGCTACCCTGCAAGTCAGAACGTCTTTATTAGCACAGCAGGACTACTAAAGAGCTATGTAAGGTGTGTCACCAAATACGAGCTTCCCTCTTCCTGGTGCTAAAGGCAAATAAAGGTCAACACATAGATGCCTAGTGCTATGACTGTTACCAAAGGCTGTACTTTGAGGGCTGCAACTACAAGCTGAATGAAGAACATCACAGCTACATGAATAAGATCAAAGAAATAACTGTATATACTAAAAGGTTATCATACCTTCATTGGCTCCTGGGTTAGATGAATGGTGCAATGTGATAACGATGAAGCCATGCATGTAGAAGACAAGACCATGATCAGTTAAACAATACGGTTATGCACTATGGATTAAAGGCATATAGAAGCAAAGAGTGCAACACTGTTCTATCAATTCAATCTGGAGAGTCCACTTTACTTAAAAGGCTTACCCCAGAAGGCTGCAAACTGCTTTTGTTTAAGCCTCATCACTCAGAGAAAGAATAACAGACCAACCTCCAGTCAGGTAAGAAATACCACACTAATTTACATTCAGTGGGGAAACAAGATCTGTGTTCAAGCAGTACAAAACCACCTTAGGGGTTTAGAACATTGTAGCTATGGGGAAGTTTACTTTAATGCCAAAAAAATTCAGAAAAGTCAGATATGCAGTTTATTAAGTAGATAATGTAAAATATCAGGAAGTTCAGGAGTTGCTCTCACCTCCTAAAAGCATGGTCTTACTGAGGAATAATTCTGTAAGAAAGTATATGCCCCAAACATCTCCTCTTTCCAACTTGGCTACCCTACTTGTCTGAAAGTGATTCAACGGTAAATTTAATCTGTCTATAATCAACGTAGATTCTTTCTTAAGCACATACACAACTTCTATGTCCACTGTATGCATACAGACAGCTCTAGTGGGTGGCACAGAGGTAACTGTTGGCACCATGGTAATGGTCACAGCCTTACTGATTCACCACCATACCAAGAGCTACTCAGAGTCTCTCTGCTGTACTTTGGACAGACAGAATGGATCTTCATAACTCGATTTATCATGGTGAATAGCAAGGATCAAGATAGTAAATGTCAGCAATAGAGTATCACAATATATCATAGCTTATTTGTGAGCTTAGCATAAACTGTAGACTGTGCATATCTACATCAGTGTAGCCTGCAGGGATCATATTCAGTAGCATGCATTGGCTCAAACCTAAGGAGAGACACGTTTTCTCCAGACATAAGTGATGCAACACCCCAGCTCTTTCAACTGTAATTCCAGTACTAGTTTTCCTACTTGTTATCTCCTTCCTGAAATATGAAGTTTGCCAACCTGCTCTGAAACTAGAAACTTGTTTCTTCTGCAAAGAAGCTACACCAGGAACCAAAAGAACCTCTGTTGGAATATCCTACTCCTTTACCCAATAAATTGTCAAAAGCTGAAGTTATAGGAAGACCTTTTCTAGAATCTGTAGGTATACCCAGTTCTACCTTCACATGGACAGGGACTTAAGCTATCAAAACAAAAGCCACCCGCTCCTTATCCTCTCAGAGCTTGGCTTTAGTCAAGCATCGTTTCACCAGATGATGCAACACAAAAATAACCAGCAAGAATTTATCACATCTCTAGCAGGATGTGATGATCCTTGCAGGAGAAACATTGCCACAATTTACATTTGAATGCATATGGAATACTTCACATAGTACAGTTAAGAAAGTGCAAGGAATGAAAATACTGAGTTTGAACAAGGAACAAAGGCTAATTATTTGAGGTAGATGGTACCACCCTCACAGATTATCCATATAACTGTTTTGCAATAAGATGTCTTTTCCTGAGAAAAAAAAAAATCCACTGGCCACCTTTGTGCTTCTCCAGTACCGCATCAGAGTTTCCATTAGCCTGTTGCTCCTCACCCAAACTTTTCAAATCACAGATGGAGAAAGGGGTTTCTCAGAGACAGAACTTACATGTGCTTCATAGACTAGCATGGCAAAGCTAGTGCCCCTACCTGGAACTCTAGCAGGAAAAGAGTCTGGAGACCCTGCTCCAGCTCCTCCTTCCTCATCATCCTCCTCAAACTCCAAGTGTTCCTCTTCTCCAGGTGCTAAAATCTTCCTGTAAAACATGAGAAAGAAGAATAAGACCAAAGATCATTCATCATCTGGCTTTCAACTCTCAAGTCAGCATCTAAGTATAGAGCAAGGGCAAGATGCTTTAATGTCATTTCACACTTCTTATACCTGTAGCTATAGACTCTGACAGAGATTGCAGGAGCTCAGCCCAATAAAAAGCATAAAGTCTAGAACCAAGAGACAATACTGGAAATTTCAGAGAGATGTAGGGATGTACCAAATCCTGATTTTACCAAAAGCATGGGCTTGATTTTTAGTGGTATCTAGACAAACAGAATTCAAAACAGTCTTATTAACCAGTTTACCCAAAGCAGTACAGCAAGTAGGTGGCTCTAGAAATTCTAGTGTTTCACATGTACACCAAGTCCCGGGCTATGCTCCCTTTCACATACTTATCTGTACATGAAGTGACTCATTGCCCTCTTACCTGAGTGGGACAGGCTGAACATCAAAGGGGAACTCCTTATTGTAAGTGAGGATGTTCTTTAAGACTGCAGAGAATGGGAAAAAATTAAGAATCCATATCCATAAACAAGCATTAGTTCTACTGCTTTGCACAGCTATGTCCGTTCTTACAGCATCTTCACACACAGAAATCATAATCATAATTTAAAAAAATAATCAGATCTTACAAAAAAACCCCACCCCACCCTTCTCTCATAGTTTAAACACCAGTACAGTTGTGATCAGAGCTATATCACTCTGACATTCAGACAGGCTAACTGCAACTTCAGTACATAATCATCACCACGCTTACACAGACAGGGAAGATGCACATGGCAATAACCAAATGCAGTATGAGAAAAGCTAGTGGCCCCAGGGTAACAGTAGCAACCTTTGGTGGCTATTGAAAGGAGGGTAGGTGCTGTTACTGACATCAGCTCCTAACAGACTGAAGTCTCCAGAACTGACACACTTAAGCACAGATGTAGGCTGCACATTCAGACAGTCACCGTGGGAGTCCAAGGATGCTGATAACACATAGTTTAGTTGAGATTTCCTACTTCTTCATGCATGTGTTTTGGGGTTTTTATTTTGGTGTGGGAGGGGGTTGGTTGGTTTGGGTTTTTTGCCCTAAGGTACCTGGGAAGATTGGCAAAATTCAGACAAGACATGGTACAACGTCTGAGCATCAAGCTCCAGAGACACTGACTATACTCTCCAGCATTTGGCAGTGAATGGCTTTGACGTTTGTACTGGAAACTTACTCAAGTTTTAGTAATTACAACTTCAGCTGTTATTTCCCAAAGCATTTACCAGTAAATAAAACTTCCAAAAGCATGTGAAGAAATAAGAAATTAAGGATGGCTAAATGGCCTAAAAATTTACAAGAGGATGCCTGCAGGGAAAGGCACTCTCCTACCAGACGAGGAGTATCTCAGACTGGGTAGGCGGAGAAGAGGTAGAAAAAAAAATGAGTCCTCTCACTGAGCCTCACTTTGCAATAAGCCCTCCCAAAACACAGGAAATCTCCGCTTAGGACTACTGAATGAGAACAAACCTGTTTTAAAATAATGTTAAGATTACACAAATATTCAGAGGTACTTGAATACCAGTTATGTTTAAGGAACCACTGGCAGACCCCTCTGCACATGACAGTTCAGCCAGTGCAGGAGAGCTTCCCTGCCCACCTTCATATTCGCATCACCCTGCGTGGGCTCTATCATTAACTTACTAGACATCATCTGAATGCTACAATTGATAAAGAATCCCTCAGGGATACTATGAAGAATCCAAAAAAGTCTTTCCAGTCTTTGCTCATTCTGATTTTGTTTTTCTACTTTCTGTATTGCCATGCAAGAGGTTAGGTACTGTCTAATTCCAGCTGGACACAATACACAAATACATGGAAAGCTTTAAGTTGCCTTCAGTCAGAGATGTGACAGACAAAACTGGTGCCAAGTCTCTCTCTCTCTCTCTCTCCAAAGACTTCTGCTCCGAGGGATCAGTACCGCAGATCTCATCATGGTGGCGAAGAATCACAGCCACTTCCCAACAGAAAAGCAGCTGATTAATAGCAGACAGTCACCTTCCAGCACAGCTGAGGTTCAGGAAAAGGAGGGGATTTTTATCACTCTCAGAATTCCCCAGCTCTTGGAGAGCTGCATCATACCAAAGAAGGAAAGTGAAACTGTCCCAGGCAGAAAAATCTCAGTAAAGCAAGATCTCTTACAGCCACAGGCACATTATACAGAAGCAATAGAAATTACAGTAGTTCTCCCATCTTCCAAAGGTTGGTAAGCACTAGATTCCTCTCTTCCCGGTAACCAATTCCTTGCACTAGATGAATGAACATCCCCTGAAAAAAAACTTCTAGTAATACAGGTCAGTCATCACTAGAGGGCACAAAATACTCCACTGATACAGCACAGGAAAAAAGGAAACAGTTCTACACCGCCTAAAAATCTCGATGCTGCCTGGAGGCAGAGCCGAGCATACACCCTCCGGCAGCCACGCACACGGGTGTTGGCACCAGACCTGCCCACGGGAGTGCGCTGCTTTCAGGCGTTCTGGCGGTGTTGGTATCAGAGGTGACACAGAATCTTTAGCTCAGATACACCCCTGGAAACACCATCCAGAATCTCTTGCCTTTTGCCGAAAAAAAGCTGTGGATCAAGTTTTTAAAAAGCCTTCAACTCTGTCTCATCGCCAATAGCAAATCATTTTGCAAAGTTGTAATGCAGCAGTTTACCGAAGTGCTCCTTTAAACGTCATCAGGATAAGAAGTGGATCTACAGCACTCAGCCTGGTGAAATACTTAATCCAAGTCACTAAGAAAAAGCAATGCAGTAAAAGAGCAATGCAACAATCATCCTCTGGGGAAAAGGAAAATCCTCTTTACATTTTCACAAGTGTGACTTTCAGTTGTTTTAAATAAAAATAACCAGATCACAGAAAAAAACATTAAGTTACTACAGCAATCTCCCTTGCAATACTGTGTAAGACATCCAAGCTTTAAGAGGTTGGTTTGGACTTTTTGGGGTTTTGTTTTGTTTTTAAGAACACACATTGTCTCTGGGAGAAAGAACACTTCCACTCTGTAATGCTGCTGCTGCGAACACGACTCACAGAAAATTCTCCATGTGTGTAACTAATGGTCAAATCCCAGCACTGTGGCCCCCATTTAGGCTGCTTTTTCAACAGAAATCTTCTTAAAATACTGTTCTGCAGGTTTTCATGTGGAAGCTGCCTTTTCTTCTGTGACATTGGACAGTATCACATTGATTTTACCAGCAGTTGGTTCTCTCTTGAACGATTTCAAAATAAATTATCAACATGAGCTATAAGATCAGTTCACACTAACTTGAAGACCACTGTCCATTTAGATTTTTAGCGACAGCCTATGATACCTGTACTGATTTTTTTTTTAATTAGACAAAACAAAGTAATTCAGACACCAGGCTCCCCAGTACAAACCAGTATCTACTCTCTGTTAATACATGTACACTGAGTATGAAACGAGTCGCTTAGTGTCTGTAATTATCACACACGAACACAGGATGTTCCAGACTATCCATTTGTAATGTGTGTTATAACACAGGTATAAGCTTTCATAAGAAAAGGTTTTGTGAGATCCCCTGTGTTAGCAATGATTTCACACAGCGTCATCTCAAAAGAACTATTTGTATGTATGGACCCTCCTGTAGCATTATTCTAGCACAAAAGATTCAGTGGCAAATCCTATAAACAAGTAAAACCAGCCAACTGCTTCACTTTCCAAACAGTGTGAAATGCAAGCTCAAGTAGGGAAAGTTAGAACTTGACAACACACACACACACACACACACACACAAAGTTACATATAAGGGCCCTGGTTGTTATAACAACGCTCAATCCAAATTTCTCAGCCATTTTGACAGCTTCAGGCACAGAAGTAATTAAAAGAAGCCAAATTGTGTGAATAGCTGTTTTCGTTCCACCCTAACAGAATGGCTTGACCTAACAAAGGAATCGCTTGTTTGCATTGCCAGCCCAGATTTTTTTAGTTTTTTTCTGGTGGAACTTAAGAGAAAACTGACAACACACAAATTAAAACACTTCACGCTGTATTTTATGAAATGACTGGTGTTGGCCTGATAAAGATTTACTCTATTCAAGATACACTTAAAAACCACAAAACAAAGTCACAATTCAGAGAGAGAGGCCAGAACAATTCAAGCCAGACAGCAGCAGTAAGAACATCAATGTTCAATTGTTGCTGTAGAAGCACCCCTTCTCCTCCAAGGAAAATAACTCTGTGTCTTTGAAAACTGATGGCCACACGCTCTTCCTCAGCTTTAATACAGTTGCTTGTTGTACAAGGCGTGGGCGGAATGCACTTCACACTGTTGAACAGGTCTTTTGACAGCTAAAAATCAATTCTCTGATGGAGGGAAAGATAAGCCACAGGACTGTTGCACCGTAATTGAAATTTTGGCTTTTGAGAAAAGGAGGCATTTCAAGGGAAACTTTATGTCTGTTGGCAGAATGTAAATTCTGATTAAAGCCTTCAATAGTCACTTCTTTTGATTTGTAGAAGTTTGATCAATTAAAACATGATTCCTTTCCCTCTTCCATCATTCTGCCACTCACAGGGCATTTGTACAATCGAGTCTAAATACAATTACTTTGTAAACAGAGAGCAGGAGTATCTATACAAAATAACCCCAAATCAGAGGATGCAGAGGCCAGACATGCAATATGCACACTGAGAAAGACCTAATACTTCCAATGCATAGTTAAACCCTTTACTGAGTTATGGTCTTCACAGACGTAGCAGTCTTGTAACATATCTTCACTTTCCATTTTCAGGGAACAGTTTAAAAGCATTTGGACTATATTTTAGTAGAGACATTAGGAAGCTCAGTTCAACGCAATGCTTCTTGACAAGCTTCCTTGTAGGCTCCTGTGCTGGTTGCTTAGAGAATGGGAGTGCAGAGAAGCTCAGCTTATTCATGAAGTGGAAACGCTTGCCCACCACATTTATCATCAACATCCCCCTTAACGATGCAATTGCAACAGGAGCAAAATAAAACCACCTTTTGCCAGCACGAAAGAAGCTCTTTCGCATCCCCTGCTCCCCAAGAATTGCAGAAACATTAGCATTCAGGATAATATTGCTGAGATGCGGAAGCTCTGATCATAAGGATGCTTTGAGAACAAAGCAGCCAGTGTAAGGGAAGGAAAATGCAGCAGATAAATAGATACTTCCTACATGAAAAAGTTATTTCTGGATTGACATACCAAGAACTGACCCAGGATCAGTTGGGAAAAAACAAGAGCACACAAAACCCTTCAAAGACTGACTCACATCCTCACTTTGACTCCTAACTTCGTTAGTCTGGTTGTATTACAGTGGTAGGTGACAGGTGATTGGCTGCTATGAGCACAAGTTAAACATTTTCAGTAGAAAAAACAAATTTCATGCTGCAAGGAGAAAGACCACAAAGTGTTGAAATTCAGTTCAAATAAGAAATGTTCAGGTAAATTTTCCAGCTGATTACATACTATACTACACTACTGATGGCTTAAATTACTATTTCGTGCAAAAATTAGCAGCACCCAAAGAATTACTTATTTGAGAATAAAGGTGAAAACATTATCTGAAGCATTAGGACTACTATACTTAGAAGTTACCCACATTACATTCCTTAATACACATCAGGTTTTTTCTACATGTTAACAGATATTTGGAAGAACCACCTAAATCCAGCATTACTGTCAAACCACATCCTGGTCAGTCAGTATTCACCCTGCTGTCATATTTTCCACTGTAATGAGAAACATCACTCAAAATACAAAGATACTACTTACTTGGTTCCAACTTCTTCAGATCCTCAAGCTTAAATTCATCCTGTGATTGGGTGGACTAGGACATTACAAAGAAAGAGTTAGATCTTAGTATGCACCTTCCCCTCCGACAGGGCTACCATATCTTAGAATAAGCAAGCAAGGTAATTCCTTTGCTCAAGCGTACCAGGTAACTTCAAAGCTACATCCTAAAAAACCCAAACAAAATCTCCCCCAAAAGAGGACAGGTTCACAGGTGAGGCGGAAAGTAGATCTCATTTATTGAGGACAAACTTATCCCATGTTTCAAGTTCTAATGCAATATAAATATTTTTAAAGCAACCAGTTGATCTTTCGTACTTAATACACACAGGAACATTAACACAGAGGGCCTTGCTTTAATTCTGCCCCAATCAAGTTGTTCTGAAGCAAGATCAGCTGTAAGACTGCACTGCAATGTGATGCTCTAACAGGAGCATTCACAGTTCAAGAAACATATCCAACATTGTAACACTGGCAGAAATTACAGTAGAGAGGATGAGTTTGACAAAACACTCAGCTAAAACCTCACTGCAAATAGAAGAAGGATTCCCATCTCTCCTTTCTCCAACCCTGATGATGCAGTTTGCTTACCTGTCTGTAGCACATGTCTGATTCTCAGTAAGCTTATCTGGCTTACTAACTCAACTGAAGTGTTTTTAATTTTTTATTCTGAGGTAGTTCACTGACAGTTTGGTAAACTGAACTAGCCTATTCCGAGACAATAAGTGGCAGAGCTGGCATAAGAAAAGTGGTGCAAATAAGAGGATTGACAATGGACATCCTCTTTTAGGCAGAGGATCAGGTCTAACCTATTGTGCCATTGCACCCTTGGCATCTCCATTGTTATTATCCATTGTTTTCAACATTTCTTTAAGGACTGACAGGTTGGGGATTTTTTTCCTAGATTTTTGCCCAAGTGCTAACAAGGACCTTCTGCAAGACTACAGAAAAACAGTAAAGCTGCTGCACCCACACTGTTAGAAGAATGGGAAAAATGACCACACTCACTAACTGCTTTAATATCTGCTAAGAAACCATAACAAAACTGCAGCAAGTAAAACACTCCCCAAAGTGAAGCAGATGAGAAGTTCTAGTACCCTCACATGAGGTTATAAAATCCTTGCGTTACTGCTGAGGAGCCATCAGCAAGGAAGGCCGTTCTTCTAAGACATCATCTCTTCAGTTTGTCAGGTTATGACATTGCTGCATCTTCTTCTGTTGCTCTGAGAAGAGACCTGACCCATGAAGCTGTCCCACAATGGAACACACCTGCCCTCCTCACAAAGTCACAGTGACTGAGAACAAGTGCAACGCTGCTCAGACACCCCTGGTCAGAACAAAATTGGAAGATGGGTAGAGCTAACCAAATAATTCTTCAAACACTGCACGTCCTTTGGACCGGTCAGCCCCTACCTCATTAGTCCTGCTCCAGCATGCTGCCTACATTGCCTCTGTATCCCAGCCTCTTGGGCAAGGGAAGGCAGCACAATGGAGCTGCTGCACCTTGTACAGCAACATGAAGTACTCAGGAGCACTGCCGTGAGTAACTCAATGCAAAATTTGCCCGTCACAACTCTTCGTTGGTAAAGAGGCAATCCAGTAACCTAAACTTTGCTTCAATTGATTCATCCCTCCCCCATCCACGCTCTTCTGGAAATTTGTCTCACCTCCCTCTTGTTTGGGGATTGTGCTGAGAGAAAAAGAAATTCACTCTCATGACATCTACTTTCAGTCCAGAAAAAAGCCCAAAGAGTACCTTCTAAATCATTATTTTCACACGTTTGCCTACAGCACTGTGTTTTCATGACTGCTGCAAAGCCATTTTTATTCTACACACACATTCTTCCTCGTGCTCTATTACAATTTGTAAAGCGGCTGAATTAGGGCAAGGGTCACTCCAGGGATCTTTCTACCCTTGAACACAGGTTAGGAAGACAAACTAATCAGTTCTGAAGGAGAAAAATGAGGCAAAGAACCAAAGACACAAAACCTGTGGTTAAACTCCTGTACAAACCCTAATACATTCTCAAATATGCACTTAAAGGTTTTTAAGGCAGCCACCTGGGGCATCAGATTGACAACCTGGAAAGTCCAAGAGTTCAAGGGTTTGTTCACTCTATTTTCAGAAGCTTTGGTTATGTCTGAAGACACTAAACTAGCTTTTTAACAAGCTCTACAGTAACCTGTCACTAAAGTATGAAGTCACGTAGGAAAAAGAGCTATACCTGTAAAGCTGCACTTCTCAGTTCCAAGCATGTTGCAATTTTAGCTATGGTTTTCTGAAAGGGGAAAAAAAAAAAAAAAAAGAAATTACTTCATTTAGCACTGAAATTGTATTCTTTCATATGCACATTTTTTAAAAATATAAATACGAACAATTTTTTTCTTGCAGAGATTTTAGATCTATTATTCAGTACCAAATCATTCAACATCAAAAGCCTTTTTATACACAAGCAAGATTTTCTGAAAGCACAATAGATGAAACAAACATCTGCCACTTAACTCCCCTCCCACAGCTCATCAACACAGATGGGGGTCATCCACTCAGCAGAAATTGTAATAGTGCCTACCACACCATAAATTGTTTATAAATGCAAGTGCTCTGAAGTGATAGGGGAGAACAAAAAAAAAAAAAATCTAAACCAACCAGTGTATTATCTTCTGAGACTCTGAGTGGTTTGTTCCAATTTGACCTTTTAGGAGTCATGCCTCCAGTTCCTCTATCAGGCTTACAATCTCAGCAGACCAAGTCAACCCTCCCCAGAAGTTACAGAAACCCAGTATCTCAGCACTGAAAAAAACAGTCTGTTTTTGTGGGTTTCAGTAGGAGAGGAAACACAAAGGAGGATTATTTTTCTGTCTTTTTTTTTTTTGTAATTTTAAGACATTTAAACTCTGAGTGAAGCATTAAATATATTCTTTGATTCAAACTTGTCAGCTACCTAAAATACCCCTGAGCTGAACTGTGAAGTAATTTCTCATTTTCATTTAAAAATGTAGAAGAGAGGGAAGGGCTTCAAAATAGCCCATTGCTAGCGGTCTTACTTTGAAGACAATTCTACTTAAGCTTTTATGTCTCACAAAATAAGAAGCTCCAGCAACAGCCACATTTGTTTCTATCACTATCAGCTGAAAGCAAGAGTTAAGACTTCTGTAACCGACATCAAGTGGACAAAAGTGCACAGAATATTTTACCTTGCCTGACCATCTCAAGTTTGTTCATTAACTAAAAGGATTCAGTGAAGAAAAACTAGGACTATCTGCAGAGATAAGGGCCAAATATAATTCAGAATTCTCTGTGGAACATCTATAGGACAAGAAATACAGCAACAACGAAGCCACAAAGAAAAGCAATTTATTTTCAAAGTAAGTTTTCCCTGTCAGAAGGAATAATAAAATTGAAATACACACCATTCTCTCCTTTTAAATCAGGCAGTATAAAAGCAGCTCCCCCCCAAGCTGGATGCAAGGGGAGGAAAACATTTCCTAGAGCACAAGTCAAGCGTCGAAGAACTTCAAGAGTACGGGCATCTGGCAAGTTATGCAGTGTCAGTCAAAAGCCAAAACTTCCCGTTAAGAGACAGTTACATTTTAGGGCTCCAAGAGGTTTGTAGCAGAAGATAAAAAACACACAGCTACCTTCCCCAGTCATCTGCCCTGACTCTCCTGCAAAGGGATGTCACAACTCCTTCTCAGTCAGCTCCTGAACCACCACTAGTTTCAATAGGCTGGGCTAAAAGCTAAGTGGCTCCAGTTTCAGTTCACCTTATGCCACACTGAAAGTTGAAAGAGTTCAGGAGCTGAATCATAAGCAGATCAGACATCAGTACCTCAAGGGCAGAGCCAACAGCTGGAGTGTGTAAAAGCCTCAGATACCTGATTTTCATCTGTCACCACAGGCTCAAAGCTTTCAAAGCCATTTCTCCCCAACTGGTATCTCCTCTCGTCTTAAACACTCTATTACAACATGGCATTAGTCCAGACTCTACATCCTCATAGTTTATATTATTGTCCATCGTATGGAGGTCTTACAAAAAAATGTGGTTCTTTCAAGCACCTTCCAGGAAAGTAGCGAGTGATGTGTATTAGCACAGGACACATACTGTTTTCTCCTCTGCCTAGGATGCAGCATGTGCAGCAGCATGCTGTTTGGGAATTTTAATATAGAGCAACATGACCATATGCTTGCATGCAACACGGCAGAGTAAAAATATTACAGCTCTATTTCTGTGGAGGTTCATTTTGTAGTCTAGGTTCAGTCAACAAACTTCTACCTCCCCAAACTGAATTCTGCTACATAACAGAGATCCATAGCTGGATCTCTAGCCGAGCTTGGAAAAACACAGATTTTTGAAAAAGAAAGGAGTACATACAGTCCTGGATTAATTTTGACACTTTCAGATCCACACTCTGCACACGAGTGTTGTGGATTTACATGCACCTTCATGCTGGATGGGACGACACCAGGTAGTACTACAGAAGCAGATTCTCAGTCCCTAGGGTGAGAATGCACTACTACATCCATCTAATCAGCTGCAGTACAGCAAAAGGAATTCCTTTTTATATTTGAAAACATCTGGAAAGATGAATTTGCAAAGGTAGAATCTTAAAGAGGAAGGTGTGAAGTAATGGGTAAAAGAAAGGAATTCAAAGGTTCCCTAGGGAAGGGAGGGGAAACCTCTGAGGTTTGACTACAGCTCTAACATTTGAAAACCTCAGCTGTTCCGATGCTTTGGGTGTTGACTGCTGAGCAAAGAGCATGCCCATTCTGTGTTAGATCAAATCCCCCTCACCCCTGACTGCACCACAGAAAGAGAGCTACCACTTCGCAGGGTGCCAGCGCATAGTCTCTGTGCCCCACCACGGTATCAGAATGTGTAAACAGATTTTCACATGGCTCTTCCCCTCCAGATCTCCCACGCAGAGCATTCAGCCCACACCGTATGAGGTCTCAAGAAGCACTGCTCAACTCTTACCTCCTTTGTAAATTCGCTGGTAAGCTCGGCAACACCCGTTCCCTATCTTGCAGATTCAGAACCCTGTATTCTTAAAACTGCCTGAACTAGGAACCTCCTGGAAGAACCAACAGCAACACAAAACATGTGTCCTCTGGCTCCTGGGGGTTAAAGGGCAATAATGGCTCTAGAAACATATTAATTGAAGAGAGTTTGGGAGTGTTAAAATAGTAAAGAATAGGTTTTATATGGAATCTATTGAAATATGGCAAGCTCCCAGCAGGCATTATTCATAACTATTTTTTTAAGGGACCACACCCAACCCAAAAGTTAAAAATGCAGCTAAACACTGCTATCATTTTCAGCTGCAACTATCCCATGCAAAGGCTCCTTTCTGCAGCAGGGAAAACATTCTGCACCTCATTAGGAAGACTGAAGCCATAATTAACTTCACTAGTTTAAAATGGTTAAGATTCAGTTTTGTGTAAGCTCATGATTAGAAAGGGAAAAAGTCAGTTGATCTCGTAGTCAAGGTTTCTTCAGTGCAGTTGTGTGAGTAATGACTGTGCTAACTGTAATGCAGTCAAAGATGTTTGCATAAATACAGAGCCAGAGCAGAGTTTGGCTTTAAAGAGAGGTCTAGGCTGTTAGGAGACCAGTAGTTTAATGAATCATGCTAAGACTGTTCAAAAGTGCTCTTATTTCAGCAAGTCACCATTGCATTTAAAAAGCATGATTTTCTAATACTGAAGAAAACTCAGCCTAGCACAAAAACAGTTACACGAGAAGCAACAACTGTGGTTAGAAGAGGGCTTTAAAGGTCAAGTTCACTGCATAGAGAACTGGGTGAGAGTAACTATAGCTGGAGGCAAGCTGACAACCATGACCAAACCTAACTGGAACAATTCATGTACCAAAACCCATGAAAATGGACTTTTTTAGGGAATGAAGGTAAAAGAACAGCAGGATGCAGGTGTTAAGACTGAGGTAAACCCATCAGTAACTGTATCTGTTAATATTCCATACACACAGCTTCTAGGTGATGAAATTGTTGCACAGTCTCCTTAAAGCTGTTGCAGGGCGACTACATTTAAACAAGTTTACAGTATTTATCTGTAGAGAAATTCTTCAATAAAATTCACATCACTAATGAAGATTCCAGCACTGTTTATTATCCAAGTCCAGACAAAGCCTTACCTAAGGACTAAAACTCTAGAATTATGTCCAGCAGTAGATACAAGATGACAACCCCCCTCCAGAAACTGAAAATCCAGGAATGAAGAGCAAATTCTGGAGACCAGTCTGCTCTATCAAGTAGCATACAGTGTTTCAAAACAGACTTCAGATCAAGAGCAGAAAGGCAAGATGTGAATATTTGAAAGTCTGAATTCTCACTATAAACGATACATTTATTGTAAGATAAATGATAACTGGCTCACAGTATGCCTAGGAAAGAAATTGATGGTATCTATCAAGTGTTGTTAGATTAACAGATTGTATGATTACATTAGCAAGTAACATACCATCAATTATGGTGTGGCCATGTCTGCACTGTAACACCACCTGTGATGCATGAAATAAACCCAAACATGGTAAAAGTTTATACAGACAGATGGAGCTGAGGATTTGAACTTAGCCTTTGTCCTTTCCCTGTAGTTGTGAAGCTAGTAGTTTTCCCTTGGTACAGAGGAATCACTGCTGAAATCCATCTTCTCCACAGAGTATGTCAAGTAAGAAACAACGACAGCCTCACAAGTAATTTTCAGCAGTATGTATGGTCCTTTGGAAAACAGCTAACTGCAAATCCACACAAAGACTGGAATGAGGGTAGATCAAGCAACTAGAAATCATAATTAGCTTCACAGCCTTTTCTCCTCCAGTCTCTGAAATCGTGTGCACAGCCTTGGCCAGCAACATCAGATAAGCAAGCCCTGAAGTTTACACACTCCTCTACATTTAGAAGAATGAAGAGGTGGCTCTTATATGACATACAGAACCTCAAAAAGACAAGATACTACAGAAAAAGACTTTCTGAAACAAAAAGGAAATGGCATGCTGGTGGATGCATTGGCAAGAACTTAGTTGAGCAAATGCAGCTGTTCTGGTATGTATATTTTTTGACGGGTGGCAAGAGAGAAGATACACTTCTATTTAACCAAACTGCTTGAAACCTCAGAAGCGTGCTAAACTCTACTCCGACATGCCAAGTGAATGATACTAGCAATGATAGTAATTGGTCATGATCACTAGATTATATTGGCTGAGCTCCTGCAGAAATTGGGAAGACCAGAACAGCAAGAAGCTTAACATCAGACTAAAAGATTTTGCTCTACAGAGTTTTAAGTGGTTCTTTCAAAACAATAGCAAGACTCTTATTTTTGTTGTGACTAGCATTCCTCATGGTAGAAGAGGGAAAGAGAATGTTCTCTCAACAAAACATTGGGGAGTTTGGCAGTGTATGTGGCTAATTAAATAGGTACAATGATTTGATAACTAGGCTCAAAGTTTCAGTGCATCAGCCCCTTACCAATATGCAAAAAAGAGAAAGTGATATAAATGTCAGCCTCTTCTCTAAGTTCTATCAGCTTTAGGAACAGGTATCACTCTGCAAGGATTCAAAACAGCCACTCATTTTTTCCTTTTCAGAAGGCTGTTGCCTTAAGACATGATTGCAGTTGTGCATCTAACATCTGAGGCCACTTATCTCTGCTTCCTGAGCCCCCCAGGCCTTCCCTCATGGCTGACCTCACTCACTTCCACAATCTGGTCCAAAGTCCTTTCCACAGATTCAGGGAACATCTGGAAGCAAAGCCCCGTGTGGTTCTGGTTCCCATACTCACAGGAGATGATGCCTCCAGAAGTGAGATTAACAGCTTCACCTTCATGAAGTAATCATATTTTCAAAAGTATCCACAGAGGGGAAGCAGGCAGTAAAGATGACTACAGCTGAGAATGATGGAGAAAGCTACCAGCAAGGGATAGAGAGCAGAAGTAACCAAAGACTAAACAGCTGTCCAACATTAACAAGGCTCCCAAGCCTTCAGTTCAGGAAAGGTGAACCAAATCCTTCTCCAAGATTATGACCCAGTTTAAGAGAATCACGAGCCTTATCATCTTCTTTGCGGAAGGTAAATAGAACATGGAAGACTGTCTCTGCTTTTCTCATTGGCACACGTCAATGAAACAGCTACAAACCGCTGTCAGACTCTATGTAAAGGTGTATTTAAATAAACTAATTACAAAGAAGTGCATCTCTAATTTCTGTAGCCAGGGCCTGTTTTCAGGACCAACATTTCCAAACACAGATCCCATTACTCTAGCACCCTATTGCCATAGGTGAGATTCTGGGCTAGCAAATGTCAATTTTCAAGCAATGCCATTGCTCAAACAAGTGATCTTATGACTTGGAAATCTGGAAATACAGGGGTTCTCTAATTCAGTTTTCCTAAGAAAAACATGCATTTATACTAGACATTAAAATTTAGCAGGGCCTCATATCTCAAAAGATTTTTTGCTAAAAATACTTGAGTGTACAAGACCTCAGCTAGCATTTTCCTCTTGACCCCTGTCACAGAATTGAAATAATATGATGCTGAGACAAGAAAGAGCCTTTTCAACTGAGGGTAAGGAGGAAGGAGTAAAGTAATTTCAATATTTTTGAAGATTTTAAACATGTAACATTCTAAGAAACTACTAGGGAGTATTCTTCTGGGACCCTTCCCAGTCAGGTGTTACATGTTAAGCTAGCATCCTCCTCACACACCCTTGTCTGCAGTTCGAGAAATTCTGTATTCAGACTTCACAACATAAATTGTGCTAATGTTGTACAAGCAAGTTATCAAAAGGTCACCCAAAAAAAAGAAACACCCAGGTTATGAAGGGCTCTGGGCAGTACACATGACATTCAACATTACACAGCAGAGCATCTGTCACATCTAATGACAGCAACTGTTTTAGCCATGCTGTGCTCTGTTTCTGTTTGTGTATATTGAGAGAGGAGAAAAGGTCTCATAAGGCTCTGGTCTCCAAGATTAAAACAAAATGTAATGCACATCAACATCTACAAGTCAAGCTCCTTGACTGAGTGAACGGCAATACTCACCTTTTGATCTTCTGTGAATTCTGAGTTGTTGTGCTGAGACTGTGCCTCCTTTTGTAGATGCCTTGCTAGTCTGGATGAGGGAGAAAGATAATTGTAGAGTGCGAACACAATACAGAAACTCAGACCCCCCAGTCTCCAGACAATGTGTCAGCCCAAAGGTCCACAGACTACTGCTCCAAGTAGTTTTGGGGTTTTTTTTGTAACAAAGTTTTCTATAACTATGGTAGGTCATACTTAAAAAACAGATGATGGACAAAGTATACAACTACATCAGGCAGGAAAGACTAGATATAGATCATGATGGGAGAAAAGGTAAGAAGGTCCTTCTAGCCAACAGCCCCTTTTATAAGCACTGACCTTTTTGCTCTACCCATTCCCTTATTCCATAATGACAAACCCTATCCCCCCATGAAGGCCCACTGTGGTACAAGAAGCCCACATGCATCTCCCTGGGAGAGTTTGAGGCAAGTGGGACTGTCAGGAGGCAGGGGTGCAGGCACCCCGGGGCGATGGCCGCATGCTCTCCTGGCAGCGCTGGAAACCTGGCGTAGGGAAACTTGGCCGGGGCTGCCAGGGTGTATCAGCTCACATTTGGCCTGTCAGCATCACATGCTGAGCAGGGACCCCACCCCTTGTCACCACAGAGATGGGAGTACCAAGGGGTTTGGAAAGTAACAGTAAGCAAACAGCTCCAGAAAGCGAAAGGAAGCTAGAGGGGGAAGCTATGGGAACAGTTAAAGTTTCCATCCGGGGAGGAAGGAGAACATTAAACAAGCAAAACCTCTGGGCAATTGTCATTCCCTGTAAATAATTTTATTTTAAAAAGCAGAGGGGGAGGGGGGAACAAGGGGTTGAGGGGAAACCGAGGGACAGCTGCAGTACTCGGGGCATCGCAATATGCTTCCATCTGGAAACTCACAAGTTTGCACTGTTAAAGGGATTCAGCTTCTTGCCACCACTACAGTGGGGATTAGCCTAGCTTTTTCGGGGAGTTAAAATACATACACCAAAACAGATTACCGTCAAAGCCTGTGTCAGAAACAAAAATCAGAACTCAATTATTTCTTTGCTTTTCCTAAAAATAAGCTCTGTTAAGAGACACAAGGATTAAGGCCACAGTAATTTTTGATTAGCACCAGTGAAAACACAACCAAACAGGACAAGGGAACTGCACAACTCAGTGGTGTTGTCCCCCTTTGTATAGGGGGAAAGATGGCAGCTGAGAAAAGACAAAATGCACAAACATGCTTGAACACAAATGTACACTCCTTCCCTCCTACCCTGCTGATATGATACACAGGACATACAGAAAGGGCATTTAAAAGTGATGGTTAAAAAAACTGTATCACCATAGCAGCAACATGCCACCCACAACAGGCAGCATCACAGTATTTCTGCAAGCATCAAGTACACAACCCTCTTTCCATTTATCACTAATACAAAAAAAACAAACAAACAAAAAAAAAAAAAAACCCAAAAAAAAACCAACCAAATAGAAAACAACCTAATCCAAACAAATGCATCGGGCATCCCACTTGCAGCTTGTTCAAAGTTGGATCAGACCAAGTTCCACAGCCAGGGACATCCAACAGGGAAGGCACTGCTGGCAGCTTGGAGGGCTCCAGTGCTAAAAAGCACCTGAACAAACAAGGGCCAATCTTTGCACCCATCTCCCCTCACTTCCAGGGCTGACATAAAGACCTGGGCAGACATAGTTCCCCCTGGACATGGGAGGCAAATAATCAGCAGCCATTAAATCCATGGACTGAACTAGCTTAGATTCAGAAAAATGTTTCTCAGCATCAGTAAGCTCTCCATACCCAGCTTCTCCCCAGCCTGCCAGTGCTAGTCAGTATGGACCATGCCAACATTAGCTGCTCCTGGACAACTGCAGCAACACACTTGTTCATCCCACCTCAGGTTGCCATTTGAGAGGGCAACAGCATAAAGACATAAAGTATGTCTCTCCAGAGCTACAGGTAGGTATCCTGCCCTGTGCTTCCTATTTGCAACTTCTACCCTATAGATTGATAATGTTATTAATTTACCTGCTGTATCTACAAGAAGCAGATAAGCACACTGAAAAGTTTCTATTCCTCCCTAGGAAATGTCTCCCTATAATCCTTTGATATTTTCTCCCCTTTGTTCTCCCTCTTGGAACCACAGACTTCATCTACTGACGACTACTCTTTAGCAGAAACACACTGATCAGGCTTGTAACAGCATCTTACAATACTACTACCCAAGAGGAGCTTTCTTACAAAGATACCACACTGCTCCAAAGTCAGAATAACGCAAGGGCGCAGAAATCACCTCAGTTCTCGTCAGACACAAGTGATGCTGGGAGGAAGGGAACAAAAGTTATGCTTTGACTCTCAAACTGGACGGTCTGTGAATGTTTAGTGACCTTACTTCTCAATGAAGCAAGCTCAGAATGAGAAGTCTGAAGACTTTTCATTCTGAAGAAACAGTATTATATGAAACTGACTGCTGAGACTGCCAAGACGGTTTAAAGAATTAGGATCCTACTGGCCTCCTCATAGACACCCACATAAGGGCAGTTATTAAAAATACCTTCTTTTACTTTCCAATGATCAGGTTTTTTTCTTCCAAGATACAGATCTGGAAGAAAACTTTTCATGCCTGTGCCAAGGTTTGTAGTAACAGTTTGCCCTGCTCTGAAGACCATCAGCAAACTGCAAGTAACTGAACTTGCAACATCCTGTATGGTGAGTGAGTGAAATTATGAGATTATAGTATCTCATGACTATGCTGGACGGGGCCAGCAGTCTAGTTGCTCTGAATGGCAACTGAACTGGTAGCCAGCACAGTTACAGCCTGTAACTTGAATAGTCCTGAACAGCACTACCAAAACCTCTTGGGAAGTATCTCTTCGGTTGACTTTCTCTTGCGAAACAAGTACAAACCCCCTGGGACTTCTTCCAGAAAATTCACCGTAAGAAACTCAACCTGCAATACTCGCATCACAAGGGAATAACTTTCAACCTTCACAATGAGCACAAGAGTCGAGGTGAGGATTTGACCCAAGCTACCAGGTGTACTTCTAAGGATACCATCGACAGTGCCCTACAGTAGCAACAGTCCTCTGGTATCAAAGGATTCATGGGTGGTGCAGTCCCGCCCAGCACAAGCCAATCTCACTGGGGCTGCCAGGCCCCGCGCTCTTATGCGAGCTGGAACACACAAGCATGCGATGGACCAGTTTTCATCCTGATGGGTTGTTTTGTTTGGGGTTTTTTTGTTCTTTTTTTTTTTTTTTGGGGGGGGGGGGGGGGGGGGGGGGGGGGGGGGGGGGGGGGGGGGGGGGGGAGGGGGGAGGGGGAAGAGGGCGTGGTGGTGGTGTAAGGCTGATGCTTCAGCGGCCCGCTTGCCGCAGCTGGGTCCCCCCTTCCCCGCAAGTGCCGTACCCGGAGGACAGGGCGATGGGATGGGGGGTACCCGGGGCACCGGCCCGGGGGAGCCCTGCGGCTCCACGCCAGCCACCCTCGCGAAAGGGCGGGCCGGCTCCCACCCCGCAACCCGGCGATGGGGAGTGGGCAGCGCCCGGCCCGAGCACCCGCCACCGACCGGCGGTCACGGCGGGGCGACCCCCACGCCTCAGCGGGGGGACCGGCCGGCGGGGCCTGAGGGGCGAGGGGGGGCCGCGGCCTAGGCCCGGCGGGCCCCCCCCCGGGAGCCGCTCCTTCCCCAGGACCCCTCGCATGGGGCTCCGCGGCCGTGCCCAGGGAGGGGGGGGGGGGGGGGGTGGGGGGGGGGGGAACGGGGACACGGAGAGGCGGGAGCCGCCCGCCCCCGCACTCACATCTGGTACTCGTCGATCGCCTCCACCAGCTGCCCCCAGGAGTCGAAGTCGGTGCCTTTCCTGAAGCTGGCACCCCAGCGCTGCAGGAGGCTCCGGGCCGCCTCCGACATAGCCCCAGCACTAGGGCACCATGCTCACCCCGGGCCGGGGCACCGCGCCGGGCCGCCGCTCCCGCCAGCCCCGCGCCCGCCGCTGGCCCGACCCAGCCCAGCCCAACCGCCGCCGCGACAACCAAACGCAGCGAGCGCCGCCCAGCGAGGTAGGCTGCGCCGGCCGCGCCCCGCCCGCGCCATCGCTACCGAGGCGGCGGCACCCACCCGCCCAGGGACTTCCGCCTCGGTATGTGTCATGGCGGCGATCACGTGGCGACCGAGGGAGCCCGCCCTCCCAGCTGGGTTTCGGTGTCGGGGACCGCTCTACTGCTCCCCGCCGCAGGCTCCCCCGGGTAAGCAGCGCCGCGGGAAGGTCACCCCTTTTCGAGGGTCTGTGTTGGGCCGCCGTCCTCTCCCCATTCCCGCATTTTGTTGGTGGAGTTGAAGGGTCCCTACCGAGGGAGGGCTGTGGGGCCCGGCCGCGTCACCGTTGTCTGTGCCCGGGGAGGGGGCGGGAGAGCCCAGCCACGGGGCTGGCGGCGGGAGACCTCAGCCACGGGGCTGACGGCGGGACGGCGGCCTGGCAGGGGTACCGAGGGGAGGGGGGTGGTGGGAGGAATAACCGGCGGGATCAATGCGCTCGGCTCGCCGTACCGCCCGGGACGATGCCATCGGCTCTCTTCTGGCGCTGCCTGCGGCGGCGGGCGTGTGACGCAGCGGCGGGAAGCACGGCAGGGCCGGGCGGAAGCGGCGGCGAGCCGTTCCCGGGGGGGGGGGGGTCCCGGCGCCGCGGGGGGGGGGGCGGGTTGTGCCGGTGCCCGCTCGCTGGTGTTGGCGGGGCTCGGCGGCCCCGCAGCTGCCGCTGTGGAAGGGGCGGTGGCCCCGCGGCGGGCTTTGGCCAGGCGGCCGGTCACCGGGCAGGCTCCCGGCGAGCGCACCGCCCTGTGCGGGCGCGGCGGGTGAAGGCGGCGCGGACACGGAAGATCTCCTTGGGAAGCAGCGCCCGTCGGGCTGTCCCCTGGCTGGGGTGCGGCCGAGGCCGTGCGACGGCACGTCTGCTCTGTCCACGTCGCTGTGCAGGTGGGTGAAGATGTCGCGATAGGTCCTGACACGATAAACAAGTCACCGGCGAGGTCAGGAGTTCCTGGACTGTGGCAGGGGGTCGAATTCCTGGATGGTGGCAGTGGGTCGCTGCTTGGCAGATCCTTTCTCTTTTTTTTTTTTTTTTTTTTTTTTTTTTTTAGCAAAGCCGCATAGTGTTTTTAACGATGAACTTGGAGATTCAAAAAGCATCATAAGGTGCCGGAGGTCAGGGAGGGGTCTGTAAGCCGATGTCCTGCTCAGAGCTGGCTCGGAGCTTTGCCCAGTGAGGTCTTGAAAGCCTTTGAGGACAGAGACCGCCCCAGCCCTTTGGGCAGCTCGTTCCTCAGTTCCACTGTCCTCATGGTGAAGAAGTTTCTCTTTTTTTAGCCGGTACAGACCTCCCTTGTTTCAACATGTGCCCATTGTGGTTCATCCTCCCACCGTGCACCCTTGTCAAAAGCTCGCTGGAATGCTCGTGTTATATATCATTGCTGAAATTGAGGAAAAAGATAAAAGGTGGTGCGTTTTAGTGGTACTCTACCGAGCTTCCAGGTCTGATACGTGTGTGTAAATACATCCGTCTTTTCAGCAAGCAGTGCTATGTAATTGCAGTTTTATCTCTGTCAATGATGCCACAATAAAAGCTACTAGTAAATTGACCAGACACGAGATGCAGAGCTCAGTGAATTGAGATATACCTGTAAATTACATGGGAAATATTCAGCCTTACAGAGGAGGTAACAAATGTGGGGTTTTTTTAGTAAGAAAGTATGCAATAATATAGAGCAAAGTAGGTTATAGCTTTTTGCCCAGCTTAAAACAGTTGCCTCAGAAAGCATATGTATTCCGAGAGTGAAATTCTCTAAGCGCATGGATGGTGAGGACAAGGTATGTGGAAGCTTAGTGTTTCAAATGGAAAAAAAAGAAATTAATTTCTTCTGTACAATTATATACAACTTCGCAAATTAATTTCTTTCCTGACTGTTTACATTTGGAATATGTTTTTGTGAGCTGAGGAGCACGACATAGAGCATCTCAGTTGTACCCCTTCCTGCAGATATTAATTTCTTTCCACACTTTAGATTTGGTGTAAACACTACAGAAAGAAAATGACTCACTGGTTTCATCGCAATCCCTTGAAGGCTACAGCTCCCGTTTCATTTAATTTTTATGGGGTAGCTACCACTCCAGCTGCGGCAAAGGTTTGCAAGTAAGTGTACTTGTGATTAACTTCACTCTGTCTCTCACAGTTCGGAGGACATCCTTAAAAGTAATGGTTATTTTTCAGTTGTTGTTCTGAAGATGACTAGAAATGTGTAGGCTGCGGGACAATAAGATACTGGTAGCACTGAAAACACTGAACATTTAGTTACAGAGAACGAATTACCCAGTTTTCAAGTCTCTGAGTGTATAGCAAGGCCTATTATAGTAATGCAGAGGCAGAAGACTAAACATTTCATTGTCTTTCTGATGACTGTGCATTCTTCTGCAAAAGATTACTTAAAGTGATTTCCATAAGTGAATAAGGCATGAATGCTCTATTGTATATAGGAGTATAATGAAAAGAGATCTCAGCTTAATTTGCAGATCTATTCTTATCTCTTCATATGCTCATCCCATTCTAATGTTGAAGAATGTTCCTGCTTGTTACTTCCCTCCCCTCCCCCTGCACCCAAGCTCTTGGTAGATAAAGGCATAGTTATTTTAGTTTGTGTTAGAACAATAGATTGATAATGAGTACTGATTATCCATTGCTGTCTGTCCAAAATCGATTGTACTTTAAACTAAAGAGTCAATCATACATATCCAGAAGAGAAAGGGAGATTTTTCTGTATTTATTGGCATCTTCCTCATAAAGTACCTTTCCATGCCTTCAGATAGCTAAATTGAGTGCTTAGCTTCACTGAGCCAAACGGGTGGTGGTGTGCATGGGTGGGTACTTTCTCAGTAGTACATTTTTGGGTAGAATCTCTTAGATTTCTTTTTTATTTTTTCTTTTCCACCACTGCCGTCCGCCCACCCCCCATACAGTGATACGAGGTTATCTCGAACACGACTATTGGAGCTGTTCACAGACTCGAGTTGTAATCCAGAAATGATGAAGAATGCAACTGACTTGTACTTCTCACTCTTGCAAGGTAGGAACATTTATTACCAGTACTGCTAATACATCAAGAGGTATATAATTTGAATTTTAATGACACTTCTCAGAATGTATATCATGCTAATCTTCTGTAAAGAAGCTTTGCACTTCTCAGGAAGGAGAATATCTCTGTGAGTTCTATGCTTGATACCAGTCGTGGGTACTCGCCAGGCCCTTTCTACATGTTCCAGTGTCCTTTGTCACCCTGCCAGTACTAAGTGTTGGCAGTCTTGTCCTCTGGCTTATAACATCATTCTGCTTCATCTCTTAGATTGTGGTGAATTGCTCCTTAAGTATAAATTGAGTCTGTTAATTAGTTGATAGGAGTCACTCTTCGGTGTAAACTTCTGGTTTGTCTAATGCTAGATAATAGACTTGTTGCAAGTTTACTTTTGCTGCTGCTTGTATTAGCTGTGTACATAAAGGTGCTCATTAGCACAGTATCTGCATTTTCAGTAGATGGTCAACTATGATGACACATTCCCTTGAAACCCTCCTGCTACCAATATTTTGATAACTCTCTCTTAGCAGTCAGGTGCTCAGGCAAGTTTCTTAGGACAGAGTTTTCAAGAATCAGCTGATTCATGGAAACTGTGATCTTTCAGGCTGTGGGAAGTAAAGCAGCTCAAGTTGGTTTAGTTCCCTCAGTCCCTGGGAAGATGTAAGCTAATGTGACATTCTAGATAAAGGTAAGGTAAGCGTCCATGTTGCTGCAGACAAGATTTGGAGAGTTTCTTCAGGAAAGTATCATGCTTGTTCACTAAAATCTTCTGCATGTGAAAGGAACGAGTATTTTCTGTTTTTATAAACATGTGACAGTATCTAGAGCTATAGCTCCAATAGCTGCTGTTGCAAGTCTTGAGTTCTTGAAGTCTGTAAGACCTGATCGGACCAAGGCCCATCTTAGTCCTCACTGAAAAATTCCTTGGGCCAGCATGTGCTAGGATGTGTACATCCCATAGCAGGAGCTTCATCCCACTGACTGCCGCTTCCTGGGCTGCTGGACATAAAACCCAATTTCCTGTAGCTCTGGAGACAAAAGATATGACAGCTAGGTGAGTCCATGCTTACAAGCCCTTTTTCTTCTCCCTGTTGACCGGGCAGCTTTTCCTGGAATTTCTCGAGTGACTGGCAGGGACAGTCACTCACCTCCAGCAGCCTCAGCCATCCTGTACCTGGGTCAGTCCAACTACCAACTAGTCACCACACAGAACATGCAGACATCTGCAAGGTTTTCCTTGAGCAATCAAGACTCACAAAGTTGAGTTGGTAACCTGCTGGCCAAGGAGTTTCTTGTAGTAGCCATTTTGGGGTTTTGTACATGTTGTTCTCAAGATATTTTGGAATAAAAGCCTCAGGAGGTAACACAGGTTTTTGAGTCGTACCACAAGAAACATTCCTTTATCTATATCCATATTCTCATTGATACCCATTCTTTCATTACTTGTTTCTGTTTCTTACTTCGAGATTGCCTGTTGGTACTTGTTTTTTTTATTCTATAGGTTTTATCCTTTCACTGGATGACTCCTCCCAAGAATGCAAGTTGAGATATATTCAGAATTTCAAGTGGACAGACACATTACACGGACAAGTTCCAAGGTACATATGCATTTATGATTACAGGGTAGGCAGCTGTTTTCTTCTGGTCTGCTATGTACATGCACATGTGCCAGCACAGGTACAAAGGTAAGCTTAGAAGTGTAGCAAAATGTTGAACACAAAACAGTTCCCAAAATCTTGTTGTTTTGTGGTTTTTATAGTTGCCGTACTGTGTTAGGTGTTCTGAAGCATGTGTTGCCCTTATGTAAAGGCATGATAATGCATGATAATGGTAGAAGGATCCATTGTGTCTTAGTTGATCTACAAACTGTATCTGCAGTTGGCAAGAGCAGTACAAAGAAGAACTTTGAGAGTATATGATAACAAAAATGAATGCAGTTTAAATTTTTTTTTTATTTGACACTATTGCCTGACCAGTATCTTCTGAGTTTTCTGAAGTGTAAATGTTGCTGAGTGTCTGATTTTGTTCTTGTCCTCTGAAGGTCCTAGTACATGTACTTCTGGTATAAAAAAAGCATCAGTTTTAAGTAGGAATACAGATTTGTAGATGTCGGGATTATTCAGTTGTCTCTTGCTATTGTAGGTAATTGTGTTGTATAACCACACTTACAAATTTGTCAGGCTTTAGAGGAAGTGCTCGACATCCTCAAAGCTTTTATTCCCCTTGGAAGACAAGCTGTTCGTTAGGACTCTTCTAATTTTCTCATGGTCATACACACTTGTACTTGGGTCAACATTATTCTTACCACTGCCACACCTTTCTTTTTAAAGTTTGATAGTTCCTAAGCTATACTGAGCTTGTGATTGCAAGTTCAGTCTTTTCAAAGACCATGTTTTTAGCTTCTGAAATTTCCCACTATTTGGTATGCTGTTTGACTGAAGTTAAATACTTACAATAACGTTAATTTGAGGGAGATGTAATAGACTCTGACTTATTAACTTAGCAGCTACAACTTTAAAGTAGACATTCCAGGGCAAGGCTTTCCACAAAATATGCAGTAGCAAAAAAAGAAAAAAAAAAAAGAGGGGGTTGGGGGGGTGGGGAAATGTCAGCCACACCCAAAGCTAAACAAATCTAAAGTTACTGTTTTAAAGTAAAAGTTCCCAAAAGGGAAAGGTAGGCATCTGAATGTGGGAAACTATAATTATGAGCTCTTAAAGGGAGTAAGTAAAAATTGAAGTCACTTTTAGACAGTTCAGCAAGTAGGAGGTTCTGAGTTGAAAATTATTGTCTTCTTAAATTAAAAATATTATATGGAGAGAAATGTTGACTTACGCTGTGTGAATTATCAGCAGAGACAGTTTGTCAGAAGAAAAAAGAAAGCATTAAATTGTTTGGGGGGGGCTTTTGTCTGTCTGGTTTTAGTGCCCAGCAGGATGCAGTGTTTGAACTGGTTTCCATGGGATTTAACGTAGCTCTGTGGTACACAAAATATGCATCGAGACTTGCTGGAAAAGAAGAGTAAGTGTTTTTCTTTTCTTAGTAGTTCCACTGCAGCAATATTCCACTCAAACATTTAGCAGGTTCTGAGTTTTGACTGCTGTAGTGCATGTCCAGCTGAGACAGCAGGAGTTCAAGGAGGCAGTTGGCTTTCCTTCATGTGCTGTAATTTCCAAGTGCACCTCAATCCCTTTTTGCATCCGTGAACAAAGTGTACTAGTACCATGTGACTGGTACTGGGAAAGTGTTGGTTGTGAATAAACCCTTCATCAGTCCTTCTCTAAATATCCGGATACAAAAGTAAGATTCTCAAAATCCTAGATCTAGTGACTTTTAGCCCTACAGATTTCTAAAGCTTTGGCTTTTAACACTGAGGTTACCTTTTACTTGAAAGTCATTGCAAGGTCCACTTATTTTTTTCAAGTGAGTTCTATTTTATTCTTTAATGATTGGACACTGTAGGAAACCTCTTTACCATGAGGGTAGCACAGCAGTGGGAAAGGTTGCATTAGAGAGTTAGTGGACTCTCCATTCTTGAAGGATTCCAGATTCATCTAGACTAAGCCCTAACTGACCTGATCTACTGTTGTTGATAGTCCTGCTCCAAAGCAGGACGTGGGACTAAATGACACTTAGAGGTCCATTCTAACTAAAATTTCACTGATTTGTTCTATATTCTTAGTATAACAGAAGATGAAGCAAAAGACGTTCACAGAAGCCTGAAGATAGCAGCTGGGATTTTTAAACACTTGAAGGTAGAAAAACTGTCTTTGGTCTATGTTCTCTAAGTTTGTTCTCTAAGTTGTATCCAAGTACTTGACTTTTTGTCTTAGGAAATCCCTCCCTTGCTTTTCTGACAAGGTTACAGAATAAACAAATACCTCAGACTATCTTAATGATACAGGAAAAAGAAGGGTATTAATGTGTTGTGCTGCCACTCCATCCCTGCTACTCTTTCCCAGTGGCAGTGGAAGAATAATCTGTCTGCCCAGCAGCACGTGCAACAGTGCAGCCAGCTGACTGGGGACCTTCACTCGGTGTCCCAGCCATTTAGGAATAAGGGACTTGCTTCACATTGGTAGCAGTGGTACTAAACCTAAACTAACTTTGAGATTTGCTTTGTACTTAGGAAAGTCACATTCCAAAATTGATTACACCTGTAGAAAAGGGAAGAGATTTAGAAGCTCGACTTATAGACTCTTACATCATACAGTGCCAAGCTGAAGCTCAGGAAGGTACCTTCAGATATATGTTTGTTGGGGATGGGGAATAACAATCTTTGTGGGTTACTTTGATGTCTTGTGAAGTCTGCGTGGCAGCAATGCCATTTTTTTTCTTCTCCTTAAGTACTGTGGCTTAATGGGGGGGTTGCTTTTAAAGAAACTTTAGTTACCATTAGAGGAGGAAAATGCCAAAAATCAGTCTGATATTACAAATGTAAACACTTTGGAAGAACTTGTGTGTGACATTCCTCCCTCTTCTTTTTTCCTTTCATGCAGTTTCTTCACCACCATGGTTCCCTATCATAAATTCCCAGTTCCTTTAAAATATTTGCAGCTTCAGTTTACTAGCTAGTCTTCAGACAAACCTTCCTTCATCTTTTCTATTAATTTGAAATCATTCTATCTAAGAAATAATCTGTCTTTATTCTGACTTTTGCTTCACTGCAGAATACTTGTTTTCTGCTCATGCAGGGGTTTTAAAATGGTGAATTGCTCTGCTGATTTGGTATGACATTTTCAATTAAACTTTAATACTGTGGTGTGGATTTTTTTTTTTTTTTCAGTGACAATTGCTCGGGCTATTGAGCTGAAACACAATCCAGGACTAATAGCTGCTCTTGCTTATGAAACAGCCAACTTCTACCAAAAAGCTGGTAAGTGTCTTGTTTTGTATCCCTAGTGACCTGGTTTATGCATTCTTGCTAGCAGACATACTTCACCCACCCATCAATTGCGGTATTAACACTGTTTCTCAGTGGATATGCTTTGTATATTTAGCTTCTATTTAGCACGCTTAGGGCTTCAGTTATCAGCGTAATGTATATTTTGATAAGGCCTTTTGGTTTTGTGGGAATCTTTTTCTGTAGCTAATGGTAGGAAGTGTTACTGAGGGGAGACAGAAGACAGAGTAATGTCTTGCAGCAAACGAATGGCTTGATGTAAATGGAGTGTGTTTCAGCTGCCTTTGGGCAGCAGATTATGATGCAGACCATAAAGTGCGTAGCCTGGTTAATTATGTATATCCTTCCAGATGAGTAGGCTGATCTGTGGGCTTACTGAGGCAAGTGGGAAAAGTGCAAAAATATGGGAGTCAATATAAGGGATGGAATACTGTAATGTACGTAGGCTTTTATGGGTCACTACTTGAAATTGAACTAGGAACAAGCTTTGAAATCCTGCCTAAAAATACTTAGGAGAATTAGCCTTCCAAACTCAGTAGACAGCAGTTTCAGGGATTCTAGGGACAACTGCATGATAGCTCAATAAATGCATATTTTTGGTTTTCCTCATAGTTTCTCTGTGCCTTTGCAGGAGTAATTTATGTCACTTGTTTCTGGCTACTTTATAGTTAAGATCTATTGCTAAATTTAAGTATTCTGGTCTTTGAGTGTGTGCCTGATTTTTTTCTTTTTTGGAAATGTCTTAAAAAATAACTTTACATGTGTGTTCATAGATCAAACATTATCCAGTTTGGATCCAACCTATGCAGGTAAATGGAGGAAGTACTTAAACTTGAAGACCTGTTTCTATATGGCCTATGTAAGTATTTCAGTTGACTGCAGTTACAGTTTTTAATGTTGTCTAAGGGCTGGATAGGGAATGGGGGAAGTGAAGCAATTCAGACTGAACATTCTACTTGTCTTCCATTACCTGCATCACAATCTGATTCTAGGCATAATTCAGAGCTGATCATCTTTTTGAAGGGCCTGAATGAAAATTCATCAAGTAATGTTAGGTACCATTCCAAGTACTGTCCCTTTTTGCTTGACTGATCTCCTAGCAAGTGCAGTGCTGCTCTTGGGATCATCAGCTGCTTGATTTGCTGTTTCTTGTGGCATGCCACAGCCTGTAGTCTGGCTCTTTCATACTGTAAAAAAGTCCCAAACTAAGCAGCTAATGCTGTTGTCTTTCTCTTAAGTTAAACCTGTAGCTAAAAGCTGCTTGCCTTATTATCAAGTCTGAGAGGTGAGGGAGGGTCAGAGCTGTGGTACTTTTTTTCTTTTTTAATTTGTGTAATGTGGGCAATGGTAGGTTTAGGTAACACTTGTTATACTGTGAGAACAGACATTAAAGGAAGGGATGCGAAGTAGATGTTAGTTCACAGGATCGTTCCTTTACCTATGGTATTCAGTATTTAAACTCAGCAACTCCCGATAACAGAAAAGAGGCAATTCAGTACTCACTAGAATATAGTACTATCTTCAAGCATAAATGTGAACGAATGGGATTTTGGGTGTTGGAAGTATTATTTGGACTATGGTAGAATATCTCAAGCAGTTCTACTCAATGAGGTAGAACACATCATCTCTTCTGGATTCAGTGATGTTTGTTGCAGATTTGGGTTTGGAGTGTTCAGGTGGTTTTGGTTTTTGGAGTCTTTGCTTTGTAAGCTTCACTGGGGTTCATCCTCTTTCTGTGGTGGGGCTTAGTGCTGTACATTGACACAATGAGAAAGAAAGGTTTGAACTACACTACATACTAGTGCTTTTGCTAAAACATCCTTCTTGAAGCTCAAAGTTACTCTTGGCTAGACTTGATACAGCTTGCTTCATACCTCCCTCCTAGTGTTTACGTTGAACTGCATTGTTCACTGAATGCTGCTTTGACTTGCATTCCCAAATTGTTAGCTATCTGCTGGTGATGACAGCTTCAAAGAGATGCAACTCTCATGTATGAAAGAGCAGAAGTGAATTGGTGGAGGAAGTTCCCTGTGATGTTGGTAATGATTTTGTTCTCTCCCATTAGGCATACTGTTACCATGGTCAAACTTTACTGGCGAGTGATAAATGTGGGGAAGCAATCAGATCTCTGCAGGAATCAGAAAAATGTAAGTGTGATTGAGACTGGATTACAGGGTCTGATGATGACATGCCTGGTTTATTTTGCTGTATCGTATTTATTTGGTCTCCTATAAACTTAAGATTTTGTCTGTTAACTGATGAAAATCCAGCATACTTTTGAATAGAGACGGTATATTCCATTTTTGTTCTTACTAAAGACTGTCTTTCAATAACAGTGCTGCAGAAAATTTCATCTTCACTTCTCCGCCTGTTAAAGACTGACTCTGAACTGCATGTAATTCAGTGTGAAATTCAATTGTCTGGTCATCATGTTTTCTGTTCTGTATGTTAAGTTCCTGCAGCCTTTTCTGCTTTGAAGGTTGCTTTGTCTTACATTAAATAGTAAATCTAGACCATGTTTGTTTGTTTTTAAACAGGTTTCAGTAACTTGCTTCCTTTTTCTTTATTTGAAAGGTAGATTAAGGGAAGTTTGCAGTAGTTCAGTCTTCTGCCTGTTTTCTCTCTCCAAAGCTATTGCTACCCCAATGGCCTGCACTACATAACTTTACCACAATGTACAAAAAAATGCTTAAATCTTCAAATTGGAAACTTTCATTTTAAAAATAAAGAATTTATTAAGAACAAACTAAGTTGGATTACTTGCAGTAAAACAAATACTGTGGTTTTTACTGTGCCTGCTGTTCAGAGTGCTTCTTTTCCCACTCTATATTAAGTGTTAGTTATTTTGAGGCATCAGCTGTGCATGGACGCCTTCATACTCTCTCTCTCTCTGTACCATGTGGCAGAGTTTGTGGGCTTATTTTTTACGTTTTGACCCACACGTAAGAATGCTTTCCTGCATATTTCTACACAAAAAGCTATCTTTTTTTTAGTATGGAGTGACGAGGACATCACTTTTTGGATGCAGTAAATCTTGGCTGGAAGTGCTGCCTTTGAGCTGGTTTATTTTTGTTTCTAAGAAACAAGAAGGCTGAATGGATTCTAGTATCTCCTAAAACTGAAGCACTGTAGATCTGAACCATGATTTAAGAGTCATGTAAATGATTTTTATTACATTTCTTTCTTGCAAAGTTTTTGCCAAGGCTGAAGCATTGTGCAAAGAATATGGAGAAACCAAAGGGCCTGGGACTACTGCCAAACCTTCTGGACATCTCTTCTTTAGGAAATTAGGAAGTTTGATTAAGAACACGCTAGAAAAATGCCAGAGAGAGAACGGATTCATGTAAGTAATTTGTGGTTGGTACAGTACTCTGTATGAACTGTTATTACCTCATTTGCCTTTATTTCAAGATGGGATGGTAAATTTTACTCTCCGGTTCTTATATTCCTTTAGGGCATGACATGTAACTTAAAGATAAGTTTGCAATTCTATAATTTTCTTTTAGCTCCGGGTCTGTGCTATCACCCTCTCTGTGTTCTGTGCCAGTTCAGAAGGGTAGGTTGGACTGACGTGCTGGACAGGTTAAGCAGTTTTTTTCCTTCATTCCTCAGCCACTTCGTTTCTTTTTCTTCTGCACAAGAGAGAGTCCTGCAAGAAACTTTGAGAAAAGGTTGCTGTGTTGCTCTAATGCCCTCTTCCCAGCTGCTGGGATCTAGTAGGAAGAAGAGGACAGAGGGGAAATGGAGAATACTGGTAGCTGATTCTGCTTTGCCAGCAGCGAAGTCAAAACACAGTCATGCATTCAGTGAAGAATATGCTTAGGGTGCTAGGAGCTTCACCAGCCTAAGTATAATTAATACTGTGAATAGGGGTTTCTGTTAGTTAATGCCCCTTCCAAAAAGAGTTTGGAAGCAGCTGAAAATAGCAAGATTAATTTTGGCTTTGGAATTCTTTTACTCCTTTCTTTCTCCCCTCCCCTTGTCTTATGATTTAGTATTCCATGCTAGGTTTGTTATTTCCCTTTTTATATATTTAAAGACCCGCATAATAGGGGAATTGACTAGCCAAAAGTGATTGCCAAGTACATCAAACTGAACTGCAAACAGGAAAAGAAATTCTCTACTCTGCTTTGGCTTCGATAACTCTTGTCATAGCTTACAACAACAGCATACAGGAGATTTCAAGAAATCCATCTCCCTCTAGAAACAAACTTTGAAAGAGAAACCAGATAACCAGTCACTGTTTTGGATGATGTGCATGCCAGAGAGCTCTGCTGCAGCACAGGAAGTAAGGTAGCATGTGTCAGTATTTGTCAATTTTCAGCTCTTGTTGGTTTGCCCAGGGTAGATTTATACACTCGTTCAGGCTTTGTGTTGTAGCAAGTCTTTGTGGGTGTTGCAGTGTCATTACTATTATGTGCTGTGGCACATTAAGACTGATTTAGGAATAGAACTGTCATCTTCATCTTTCTAGGGTAGTATTTGAAATCCTTATTTGGATTTTGAAGGTCTTTTTGGAGAAAAGGTGCTCTTCTCATTGAAGCTTGGAATGATGGTTATCAAGTAGGAAAAAAACCACCTAGCTATTTGTTGTGGTTTGAACCCGGCCGGCAGCCAAACACCATGCAGCCGCTCACTCACCTCCCCCGACCTGGGGAATGGGGAAGGGAATTGGAGGGCTGAAGGGAGACTCATAGGTTGAGATAAGAACAGTTTTAATATTTGAAATAAAATAGAACAGTAACAATAATAGAAAGTACAAACAGGTAATGCACAATGTGATTGCTGACACCTGCTGACCGATACCCAGCCTGTTCCAGCCAGCGATCCCAAAATACCAAGATACTTCAATTGCAATCCCAGAAGCGAGAGAGAGCCCCTTCCCGATCACCCCTCCTCTATATAGTGGGCATGATGTTACGTGATATGGAATATTTCATTGGACAGCTTGGGTCCGGTTCTCTGGCCATGCTCCCTCCCAGTTTCTTGTGTACCTGCATACGGGCAGGACACGGGGAGCTGAAGAGTCCTTGATCTCTTAGTAACAACTCAAAACATCAGTGTATTGTCAACATTCTTCTCATACCAAATCCCATACTGATTCCAAAGCACAGCACTATTCTAGCTACTAAGAAAAAAATTAACTCTATCCCATCCAAAACCAGGACACTGTCAGAGGATGAACAATACCAAGAAGAAATTGCCTTTTGTTCTTGTGAATGTTGCTGACAGAATGCATGTTGGGTGGTGCCTTAATGAAAGAGAGCAGCAGTGATTGCCACTGTAAAAACCCAGATTGTTTTTTCTTTAGAATTGCAAACGACCTGCAGAGATAGCGTGTTGTGTTTTAAATATATTGCTGTATTCTATTACAGCTATTTTCAGAAGGTGCCAGCAGAGGCTCCCCAGCTGGAACTGAAAGCAAACTATGGCTTAGTAGAGCCGGTTCCTTTTGAATTTCCTGCCTTGAACACACACTGGACTCCTGAAACACTTGCGGCATTTGATCTCACCAAGAGGCCAAAGGATGACACTGTAAGATGATCTCGTGTACCATTCTTTCCCGTTAGCTTTAATCTGTGTATAGCACAGAGTTACCATTTTGCTCTTCTGTAACGTTCTCCAGCTTGGTGCAGGCTGTAGGCACAAGGCTACCACCTAAGCTCACCTTTCCCCTGTGCCAGGAGGCAAGTCAGTTAACCTCTCTGCCACACTGTCAGCATCTGGAAATTAGGAATCAGTGTTTTCTAAGTCCTGAATAGGAGGAAATTCTTGAATGTGTATAAGATGTGGAAATGTTACGGGAGTGAATGCTATAGAAAGATTCTTTTTTAGAAAGGGATTAATTTAAGGATGCTGAAATAGAGACTATTTGGCTTTTGCGCCTTGCTTGAGGCTTGTGCAAAGCCTTCAGCCTTGAAAAGAGAGGGTACTATTAGATTAGGATACGTAAAGTTAGCCATGCATAATACTGTGTAGACACAGTGGTTTCTCCTTGTGGTATTTAGTTTTTTTTTCTTCTTCTTTGCAGGCTAAACCAAAACCAGATGAAGAAGTAAAACCTCTGAAGGAACCAGATATAAAGCCTCAAAAAGACAGTGGATGCCAGATTTCTTAAGACCTATAAGTGCTTTGAATTCACTTTGAAACTGTAATAATTGGACTCTGGGGCTTTAGTTCTGATCTCCCTTTTTCTGATTCTTCTTTTCTTAATTTAGAAGACTAATTTAATTTACTTTTGTTACTATGCGCCTATCTTGCTTGCGAATGTGGTGGATTTCTAGTTTATTTATATCTGACTTATTTTTTGTTTTAGTGCGATATCATAGAATGAGTGGTTTTAAATGTTCCTACTGTGCCTCGAGAGAGTCACTTTTTGTGAGTTTAGTTTCTACCCACAAATAACAAAGGAAGTATCATGATTGTAACACTTGAGGATTTTTCCATTAAATTATATGCTATATAATGTCAAATTCTGCAAACAAAAGTTTGCATGAACAGTTACATCTATTCAGGTTTTGTTATTCAGGCTTAACACCCTGTTGTGTTCTAAGTCACTTAATTGTAGTGAGCAAAGAAAATCTCCCTGTGGTTTGTAACACCTCTATGATATTTCACAGGACTTTTACAGAACTTGGAAAACCTTAAGTTCTGCATAACGGAAGCACAATTTATATTATTCTGAAATGATTAGCTTCTGTTCTTTATAGATTAGGGTTCCTGTACCAGAATTTGTAGTAAGGTGCTTTGACTTGTCTGTCCTTAAATTAAAATCCTTTAATATCCAAGTGTATGTGGAAGTGAAGCAGCAAGTAATATGAAAGTGTTTAAAAGTAACGCATCACAGCGTCATTCATCCAAAGTTTTTGAATCTTCAAAGATTTGGTAAGTTTGAAAACTGCAGACAGTTAAAATCTCCTGGCACTAGAATTCATGAAGTTGTCATGCATAATGTAATGGAGTTGTAACTAAGATGCTGTGTTTCCATCGGGGTAGTGTCTATAAGAAGCTGTTAGGACAGCAGGGAGGAAAGATGAGCTGAATTGCTGATGGCACAACTTGGAAACCAAGCACTAGGTTTCTTTCATGCCTCTGTAAACAGTGCTGTTTCTCAGCTTTTGCAGTATTGCATTGAAATCAGCTCGTTATGAAGAGAATTTGCCAAAAGCCAAGCCCAGTCAAGACTGAGAAAGAAAGTATTTTGTAGAACTTACTTCTTCCATTTCTGCCTACTGTGGAAAATGTGATAACATTCTTCAGTGCTGAGCACTGCAGAACACCCATGTCAACAAAAACAGCTTTCTGATTTGCTGCAAACACAGGAGAATATAATGCATGTGTTGCAAGGCCCTCACTTCAATCTCTGGGTATGAGTTGCTGCACTTTACCTGAGAAAGAAACTGAACTGCCTGCAAATGTTCCCACTTCAAAAAAAAACACGATGGCACATGCACTTATGGTGTGTACTGTAAACACATACTTCACTTGGTACTGTTTGGATCAGCTCATCTTCCACTGTGGTGTAATTCAGTGCTTCTGTTTGAAATCTTTCATGGGACTTAGAGTAAGCTAGCTTAGAGGGCAGGTATGTAGCTCCTTGAAGGCCTGTGGAACAAAAGCTGTTGACATTAATAGGAAACTCAAGACTTCCTGGGGTACTGGACCAAACTACCGAATTCGTTGCTGCAAGAAGCAAAAAGACTCTTAATACTGGCTGTCATGGGTGAATCAAATGCAGAACTAACTCATTGTTTCCAGTGATAGATTTTTCTTTCAGCCAGTTCTAAACACAAAAATTAAGTGTAAAATCAGCCGAATTGCTTTGGAAGAAGTTTATGTTCTGCAAGGGCTTAGATGGGTAGAGGATAATGAGCATCAAGGAGAATTTCTATCTAAAATTGTTCCATTTCTTCTGATGCTGCACAGGAGCCTGGGATATATTTTATGAAGAGTTACTCATATCTGTTTGTAACTTGATCAACTGACTTCTTACACTTCTTGCATTGTTAAAAGACCAGCTAGGTTTTGCCAGAATGGAGCATGGAGCTATAGGTTATAATTCTAAAAACTTACAACTGTACTCGTCTACCTGTCCCCTTTAAGGATCAAGATCCAGTTAACTCAGTTTCATAATCATGATTTTCTTAGTTATTCATTGTTTTTCAGATGCCTGTGTGTGTTAATACATACATGTCTGAACCTAATTAGTTTTCTTTCTATGCAGACTAGATTTCATTTTCCCTCCTCCCCTCATTTTCCTTTCCATCTGCTACACACTGTGGCACAGACTTACCCTTGTCTGCTCATGCATGTGTAGGTCCTGGAATTAATTTCCAGTGAGGCTTTTGCCCATGGGTGTATTTCAGTATATGAATATCTTAAAATAAAATGAACACATCATGACTAAATCATTCCCGAACAACTGCTTAGGAAAGATTATTTAATGGACTTGCAATTCTTTGGACACTTTCTCAAACCAAGTGGTTTGTTTGAATCAAGTTCACTGTAAATAGTTTGGGGCATAACCAAGTGAATTGTGTCAGATTATGGCATTACTTAAGCCTAGCTGTGTAACTTCTTATGCCATAGCTGTTTCAGTAAATATGATGTAGTAGTTTAAAAATAGACGAATGGAACAAACTAATTCACTTAACATGTGTTGCTTTTCAAGACAAACGTTGTTTACTTGTAGATAGAGTCCTATGGCAAACATTGGATAGTTTTGCCCAAAAATAAGAAACTGGAGACTGTTTAGTTTGTGAAGTATAGAGAGCTGTGAGTCAATGAGCAATTTTCTCTTCAGTTTTGTTGGGTAGTAGCAAGAATTATTGTAAATAATAAGTAGATTAACTGTCTAATATGCTTAAGAATATGGGTGAATTGACTGGGAGTTTCAGTTAATTTGGAAACCTAGCAGCCACATTCCTTCTATTATGATTTCCTTTAGTAATTTTTAAGAATGAGGTATTTTGAATGGCAACTTTTTAATACTCTAATGCTGCAAGAGCCTGGTTTTGTGGCCTCTCTCTGGTTTTAGAGGTTCTTATGGTTAAACCTGCAAATCTTGTTGGTGTAAATAGTCTTTAAAAATTTATGCCCAGTCTGAACTAGGACAAAACTGCAGCTAAATAAAATACAGAGTGCTGGGCCCTCTGTTTTGTGCTTTTAAAAATGCAGTGATTGTCTTTAATCTACTATAAAAGAAATTAGTAAGCTCTTTGTACTATTTCTATTTAAATACCTTCCTCCATGTATTTAAATACACTTCCTCCATGTTTCATGTTTGTGGGTTTACAGTAGTTAATCTTCATCCAGCATGTGACAGTCTTACAACTGAGGGACTAAATTTGGCCCGTGGATGCTGATGTCTGCCTCTCACTGGATTCGGTAGAGGACTTCTGCCTGTCAGCCTAAGGATGATGTTTGATCACTTAAATGTTCGGCATGGGTATGTGGTGTGTCTGTAATGATGGTAGTGGTTCATGCTATAAGCAAGAAAACAGATCCCTGTATCCGTGTAGAATATAGCCACCTTTGCACTTTAGAAATTTCTGATCTTGCAATTTCAGTACAATACAAAATGGTTGTAAATATTAATTCCTGTCATTTTAATTTTGTCACACTGATTTCGGTACTGTGCTATTGGTAAGATTTTTATGGGAAACATTACTAAAATGTATTTTTAATTGTCTGTGTATGAAACAAACTCATGAAGCATATCTCTACCTTTAGTATTGGGGGAACGTGAGAGGAGGCAGTCGGTAGCTCATCTGCCTTCCATGTCAATTCAGAGAAAAGTTTGTCTGTTGGCTGAGGGATGATACTTTTCATCCCATCCCTGTGTCTGGTATCTAAACTGAAGTTTTGGCATGAACATAAATACTGTTCATGCATATTAATTATCCCCAAAAAAACAAAATATATCTCTAAAAGTCATTGCCAAATCATAGCAGCATAAGCTGCATTTTTTTTTTTCCTTTTTTTGTTTTTTTCCCTAACTGGACCATTTGAGTGAGGAATAAAGCACAGCAAGTATGATTGGCATGGAAAAGCCCCTGTCGTGGGTACCTGTCTCCAGATTTTGAATGCAGTATAAAGGTCCTTCCACAATGACCGTTGGTTTCATTCAGATCTTCCCCTGCTGGTGACGCTCTCACATTCAACAAATGTCACATGGTAACTGAGGGTGCCCTTGGTTAGCTTTTCATGTAAGAAGGCCTACGTCCTTTGGGGTTGGTGCCTTCATGGATTACAGCCTTCTTGAAGCCAACCAGTACTTCGAATAATCGTACTCAAATGGAATCAGCTCCGGTAAGATTGTCTGACCAGCCTTATTTTGTGAAGGCAGTCACCATGCCATCTTAAGCTTCGTAGTTTGAAAAGTTGTATATAAGCACTAGTTTCAGAATACCATTTAAAATAAACAATCTTAACGTATCAGTTTTTGTTTCATCATTTAGAAATTTTAGTAGCAAGAAAAAGAGTCTATCTTGAATGTTACTTTCTCCGATTTAATGCAAATGTAATAATTTTAAATAATACTTCATCCTTGCAGTATGCCCAGAGGAGGATTTAAATGAGCAAGATACATGAATTGGGTGTACATGGAAGTAGTAGCTACAATGAAGCACTTCAAGTCATGGGACAGGAAGAGAGGAGATGGCATTCCCAAACTTCTGTTTAAAGAAACCCAGAAAGTAATTAGGTATGATTTCTCATGCCTATACAAAATCCTCGTGCTTGCAAAGGTCTGTGACATCATAGGCTATTCTGTACACTGTGTGAAGGCATTGTCTGGGCAGTGCAGCAGATTGTGGGACACTTCTCTACGTTGCCAGCAGGTGGCAAGTAGATTTGTAGGAAACATGTTTTTTCATTTTCAGAGGCAGGGTTGGCTCTTTCAGTTATTTAGAGTAAATACACACTAATGCCTTTTAGCCTCTTAGTGTTTAGCACAGTTTTTAGGAGAAAAAAGTAGTCTCTATCGGACTCTGATGTCTATTTCCTTGTGAAATAAATCTTTTTCCCTCAACAAGGTACATTGAAAAAAACCTACAGAAAAGGTGTTTTTATTCATGCATGTTGTGACTTCAGTAAAAGTATCTATAACTGATCCTGTAATATTTTCCCTCCATCCTAGTGATTTAAAGGATTTAAATTTCTATGTAGTCCTTAGAGAATAAGAATTGTTTTGCTGTCAAAGACTATCTTCTATTTAATTTTGATAATATCAGATAATTTAGTAGGAATGTGAAGACTGGGCTGTTTTGAGTGTAGCATTGGGAATTTGATAATGTTCTGGATATCAACTTTAAGACAAACCTTCCTCTCTAATTTAGAAAGTCAAAGTTTTCTACTTTACAGTGTGTTGTTTTTTGTTTGTTTTTTTTTTTTTTATCTGACATCAGATTCATCTATTCAAATAGGGATCCAAATAAACAAGTCGTTACATTTGGAGAGTGTTCATAATTTTAGCATGTAACTGCTAGACTGGATTTTTATTTTCCTTTCCTCCATGAAGAAAGTCATCTTTTCAGCAGCAGACTTTGCTGAAACGGATTAACTCTAAAATAGGTTTCCAAGTCACAGAAAGTTGCTGGTTTGTTTTGGGAACTCCTGAAGACCCACAGTTTCCCTCATGTTGGTTTGAAAACAGCTGATGAGTCACTTGGGACACTTTTTTTCAGACTTCAGAAAGCTGAGCAGCTCCTTGAATGTGAAAGACCCCTCTTACTGTGTGCTCTTTCTAGTGCCTTGCAGGCTGCTTTTCATGCCTTTGCTTTTAAGTTACAAGGAAAAAACCTAGATGCCCATGCTTTATTACTTTCCTTATTTTCTTTCACACTTGAGTAAGAACTGAAATAACCACCAATGATGTTTATAGCTAACATCATAAATAAAGTGGATGAATGGACAGTTCAAACCATAAAACTGCCTTTTTAGATTATATATAGATGTCTACACATTGCTTGCTTCTGTTTATATTTGGAAATTTTCTGTTAAAGCCATAGCAGTTAGAGATTTGGCTTAATGAAAATGAAAAATGAGATTCTGGTGGACACCTGGGTAGCAAGTCCTATACTCATTTGTTGTCAATAGTTTTGGAAAATGCAAGGCTCAATGTTGTTATCCTGGACTGGATGTTGTAGGAAAAGTCTGCAGGATTTTGTCTCTAAACTGTGACTTCAGATGGGATCAAAGCTGATGGGAAGCCTAAAAAAATCCTTCATCTCATGCTTTTGTGACTAGCACATTCACGTCATCTGGGCTGATGATTTTGCTCAGATTTCTAACTTGATCACCAGTCTTATGCCACAGTACTTTTTCCTGAGATTGATGCAAGTTGGCATTCTTGCACTTTTTGTTGTGTGGTGTGGGAACTCCTCTGACAGCACAGACTTTCTTTCTTAAATTATTTGCCTTTTTCAAAACAAAACAAGACCTACAGTTTTCTTACAGTTCTCACAGGCAGCTGGTGTATAATTTCAACACAAATAAGAGATTGTCTTGTGCAGCTCTACTTTCCACTATATCAGACGTGTCTAGTAGCATTTTAGACAAGTCAGATAAAGTTTTCTATCAGTGAAGAAACAGCTTGAAGAAGCACAGGAATATCAAATGTGGTCTCCTGTTGGTTGCTTAATAAGCAGGTAATTAGGGGCACAGCTGTGAAGCACGCAGTAGCTCTGAAGTTCAGATGAAGACAAGTGATGGGATGGCTTTTCTTTTCTGCTGCAGCACATGGGATCTTCAGGCAACTGAATTCCAGTTAAGGCAGAGCTACTGGTGTACTGGCTGAGGGCCAAATCAATTCAGTGAGATTGACTGGCAGAGATCCACTGCTGCTGCTGGGGTGAGCTGAGGACTGTTGGGAGCTCACAAGATGTGCCTGTGCTTTTGAGAGCTATGGAAATGGTGTCCTTGTAGTGGAGCCAGCCTGGAAGGGTCTCCTTGTTGTCTGCTGCGGTGGGGAACATCTGTTTACTGCCAGTCAGCTTATATCTAAAGCATGAACCATTTGGATAAGAAACTATCATTCTGGTCTGTGTTTCTGTAACATTCATCATGGTCTGTCTGCAGTCCAGTCTGTCTGGGAGACCTTGTGCAGAGAAGCTCTTGCTGAGAAGCTCATTTTGGGTAGGTAGTGGGTTACTTACACCTTTTTGGTGTCGATATGTGAGTGGACACAGGATGTCAGTTCCCTGAATAGTTCCTGACTGCTCTTTTCCTGGAAGGTCACTTCATGATCACAGTTTGTCCTGCACCCATCAGGGTTTCTTGTGTCCAGCCAACTATTCCCCATCACAGAGGTTTCTGCTGAGCTTATCAGGGATATCTCGAGACTCTGGCTAAGGAGCTATCCTTTCTCAGTATGCCTACCAGGTCACCTTTGTGGCAGCTCCTGTTAATCTTGAAGTTCCTCTCATAAAATAGGGTTATAGTTCCGCTAATCACCCTGACTCCTTATTTGCATATTCAAATTCCTGTTTCCTGATCCTTGAAAACCATACTTGTGTCTAATATTCTAGGTGAAGCCTCACTAGCACAGCGTGTTAAGTCTTCCCTATCTGAACTAGATATGCATCTCCAAGAATCACATCTGCTGGAGCCACATGGTGCTCTCTAATCATTTTGCTTCGTGCCTCCAATCTTTCTGTTGGTCTTTCCCAAAGAATGACTCACTTTCCCTTTACAGTGTCAATTTTGATAGCTCCTAGATGTAAGATTGCATTTCCTCTATTGAATTGCCCTAAAATCATAAGGTCAGGTACATTCTCCTCTGTGATACCAGGATTCTCTTCTCTGCTGATGGTACTTCCACAATTTTTGCCCTCAGCAAGTTAGTCGGTACTTTCCCCCCCCCCCCCCCAAAAAAATATGACACAGTGCATAACAGTACCAGAACAAGAGCACTCTTGAAATTATAAAAAAAATTCCCACAGTACTGTAGTGGAGTTATGGCCACAAAGGGTTAGCAGATCCTATATTTTCTTGGTGTTTTGTGGTTTCTGATCAACAGCATGAAGTCAGTACAGGCAGCAGGCCCTCTAGATGGTCACATAACACAAGCGGTATTGCAGTTGAAAACGTGAAGAGGTGTAACAAGTTGCATCTTTTATGTCAGGTCACACTGCAAAGGACTTGTGTGGTGACATCCAGGAGCCCATGCATGCTCTCTGGCCACGTGAGCAGCTACCTTTCCATAAAGGTCACTGCCAAGGCCATGGAGCAGGAACACTGACAAACTGACAATCTCTTGCCTTGTGTCCCAGCAGCTGCTCTGTCCTAGGGCCTGGCAGCCTCTTCAAGGCATCCGCCCATTCGGAAGAAAGTGGTGTGATGCCGTGTATGCCTGTGTAGGGTTTCTCTGAGGTCATGTACTGGGTTGACGTGGCAAGGATTTGGTAGCGGGGAGACTGCAGGGGTGGATTCTGTGAGAAGGCACCAGGAGCTGCCCCCGTGTTGGCCAGAGCCCATTCCGGCCGGCCCCAAGCCTGACCCGCTGCTGGCCAAAGCTGAGCCCATCAGTGGGCTGCCTCGTGGCTGCAGGGAAGGGGCAGGGTGCGGGGGTAGAAGGCCGTGAGGTGGGAAAATGAGGCATTCTGCAGCTGAAAAAGTAAACCAAGGCCTTTTCTGCTGCTCACGCTGCCCCACAGGCAGGCTGGGGGTGCACAAGAGGTCGGGAGGGGACACAGCAGGGACAGCTGACCCCCACAGACCAAAGGGATATCCTACAGCATACAGCGCCATGCTCAGCAATAAATCTGGGGAGGAGGGAGGTTGGTGGGGGCTGCCCTTGCTCAGAGGCTGGTTGGGCATCAGTTTGTTGTTTTTCTCAGTTTTGTTTATTTTTGTTTTTTCTCTCTCCCCTTTTTTTTTTTTTAATTTATTTATTTGATTAAATTGTCTTAATCTCAACCCCCCACAAATTTTTGCACTTTTACCCTTACAGTTCTCTCCCCCATCCCACAGGGTTGGGAAGTAAGCAAGTGGCTGTATGGTGCTTAGCTGCTAACTGGGGTTGATCCACGACAGTTCTTTGTAAATCCTAATGGTAATGCCCCACGCACTCAGCATCTGAATGGTGGGACAGAACCAGCATCCACTGAGCATTTGCAGGTTAGGAGTGCAGCAGCATCCGCGGGGATTAGCCATGGATGTTTAGAAGAAATCATTAGTATGGTAAGAAATCTCCACACAACAAAGCATCAGTATTAAAAATGGAGGAACTCAAAAATATATGAGATGTGGCATTTACGAAGACAACCAAGTGAGGCTTCCAATAGCCACGTTAAATATGACACAGCTGCAGTTAATGTGAACCCTCCCTCTGGAGACCTCAGGCACGGAGTTAGGAATTCTCAGGAGAAAACATGCAAGTTTGCCCTTTTTTCTTGTTTGGTTTGACAAACTGGCAAACTTGATACAGGTGATGTATCTCCAAGACTTGTACCTTTCCAAATCCGGATCTCTGTATAACTTGCATGTGCTAGTTATCCTAGCAAAATCTGCTGGTAGTGGTGGTGGGATTATTTAAGGCAGATAATATATTAGCTGAGTCTGGCCGGTGTGATGAGATCAATTAAAACAGGCTACAAACTTTCTTCTTTGCGAACTGGCAGATCGCTTCATATTGCAAGCTGGATGGTAGAAGACTGTGATTAGTGTAACTTCATGGATAATCCTGTCGTCATGTTCAAAATTAAAGCTTTCTTCTTGTTTCTGCTCTGTAGTCCACACTCTTCTTGGGGGGCTGTATCTCCAGTTTTGGGCAGTTTGAATTGCAACCACTTAATTTCTTAGTAAGATAAAGTTTCTTTCTTTTTTTTTTTTTTTTTTTTTTTTTTTTTGGAATATGACTGATTAATTTACTTTAAGGATGAACTGGAACACAGTCACTATTCAAGCAACAAAGCTGGTACTGTGCGGTTTTGTCTCCTTGTTGTAATACTTTCTTGCTTTGTCTCAAGGGATTATCAACAGGATTTAAAACACTTGATTATTTCTAAAATTAGGTATTTTCTTTCAGTCAGATGATATAAACACTATCAACAATTAAAGAATTTAGACTAGATTGCTTGGTATTAGCCTATTGACCTTTTCCAAAGGACACGTTTGATAATACCCAGAAAGGATGTATCTCTGCTTTTAGATATCTAGAGGCAGCCTTAGTGCGAGCAAAAGAGGAAGTTGAAAATAATAGAAAAACCTGATTACCACACAGGTGCAGTATGTTATGAATTTAGTGCTACCTACACAGTTAGACTAGCATGGCAGAAAGCACTTGCAGGAGAATCAGAATAGGATGATTCTAATTGAGGATGGACCATTTTATCTGACTTCTTGCCCCAAGAGAGATCAAATAATTCTTGACAGGCCTGTCAAAATTCTTCTCAAAGAATTCTAGTAATGGTTACTGCATCAGCTCCCCGGGTAACTGGTTGTAGTGGTTTTGGATCCTTTCACTAATAGAGTTTTCTTTATTTCATGTAGATTATGCTGTCTGCATTTGTCCTATCGACAAATTATCTTTTTGTCTTTCCTCATCTTTTCCTGTATTTGACTGTTACCATGCCTCCCCTTAGACTTTCCATCTGTAGACTAAACACCACCATGCCTTTGCATCTTTCTGCCTTAGTTTTAGTTCCCAAGATATTTACTCATTCTCACTGCTGTTCTCTGGACTTTTTCTAATTTGTCCAAATGCTTTTCAAATGTTGTCATGCCCAAAACAGAACAGAAGCCTCCAGCTGGGGCTCACCAAGACAGAGTAGTGCCTATCTGCTACCTAAACAGCTGTTTCCCATCTTATCTAAGTGCAGAAACCTGAAATTATTTCCTTAAATCCTGGAGGCTTTTTGAGAACATTTATTTTATAGAGATTCTTTTGAATTACATACCTATTTTCCATGTTACTCTCAGTTGTTTGCAAAAATACATTTATATATATATCTATTGCGTCAACCCATTCACTAGTGAAAATACTAAGTATAAATGTCCAAGGCAGAGCTCTGTTCTGTCTATTCCTCTGTGCTGACAGTGAAATACTGGTAAATTTTCTAAGAAAAATCAGACCCATGGCTGACCTTTTTTATTTGAAGCAACATGAAACTACTTGTTGCCATTCCATCTTCACACATCAAATGTGCTTTTTACTGCCAGTGATTTTTTAAATAAACACCGCATCTCCATATATAGCATTATGACAGATGCTTAGATTAATTTTTATTACTGTGCGATGTCTTAATCATAAAAAAATATTACATAGCAGTTAAACATCAAAAGGCAACTTAGGATGCCAAAATTAGTTAAGCAAGAAAGTATGAATAGCTTTATCAAATATCAATTCAGTCCTCTGTCCTTATGCAGGATTGATAGGCTTTAATTAGAAGGTCATGCACCACTTTTTACAGAGGACTTTATGCATGGAGTAGTTACTCATTCAAGAGAGCATGGTCTATTTTCAGTATATTTTATATATCCGTGCAGACTGCCCTCTTTTATTTGCTGTGAAACATGGAAATGTAGTACGGAATGGGGACTTGTTCATCTCCTTCTGGGTTCTTGAGGAGTGGTGTCAGATAAGTATCGGAATGCTCTGCAACTATAATTTTTTTACAATACAAAGACAAGAGTCAAGATTGTCAGCAGCCAACTAACTTAAGAGTATCCAGCTAGAAAACTCACAGGACATTTACCATGTTACACTGCGGATGGTGTTCCTATTGTGTGCATCTGTAGCCACTATGAATGGTCAACACTTCTGCCAAAGGATGGCAAGTGTTTTGAACCAGAGCCCAGCAAGCACACGTCACGCAGCTATGAACTGCCAAAATTCCCATAAAGATCGTACAGGAGCTATAAGGCAGAGGCTGCCATCGTGTCTTACTCTCTGTGTCACCTTTCAGCTGCCTTTGTTATAAAACCATCTTTTCTCCCTTCTCACTCCTCAGCCTTCTGTTTGACTCACATATTCCAAGCTCTCCGGGATTGAGGACGGGGTCCTACAGACAGCAGCTTTCCACACCCTGCAATCCTGACCAGCTCCAAAGGCAGTGCTCCAACATCCCCCCTCTCCAACTGAGAAGGAGGCATGAGTCATAGAAGGAAAATGATATATGATCACAGTATATACCGTTCCTTTTCCATTATTCAAAATAAGTAGGGGATTTAATGAAAAAATGTAATGAAGAAACCTCCAAAGCATGTGTCCTGACTTTGAACTACTGGCTCTGCCACTCAGCTTTCTTTTAACTAAGTTCGCTTTAGTCTTTTCAAAAGGTCTAAGCATGCTGGGAAGAAAAAGTAATTCTGTGAACTGCCCTATGTCCCTTCCACACATGAATCTTCTCTCCAGCCTGTATATTTGGATCCTGGGCAAATGTTCAGAGGGATAGCAAAAGCTGAACCAGTGACCGTCTCTGTCAAATCTCAAGACTCTGAAACGCTCTAGTTCCTCTGTGATTTACAGCAGTGAAGCAAGCAAACTGTTTTAACGTGGACTAGAGAAAAAACATTATTTTACCCCTACCCATGTTTTTAGACATTTGGAAGTCCTTTTCTTCCCTACATGGGACAAAATACTTCAGTGCTAACAGCAGGTTATCAGCAACCTGAAAATAAAGCTTCTGATAAGTGTTAGTGACCTTTATTACTCTATTGAAGTCAGTGTGACCTATGATATAGTGTATTAATTAATAGGCAGCAGGTAAGTTGGTTTTGAGCTATATCTATTACAGTTTTATGAAAAGCATTTGAGCATCAGAGGCTGGACTGGAATAACTAAAGGGAGAGCATGGTGCAAATGTAGAGAGGGTGTAAGGATCGGTGAAGCAGAAGAAATTGGCCCAGAGGCAGGAACATAAAGGAGGCCATAAAGAAAAAAGGTCATAGCAATAACTGCTGCAAGAACATTGTCTCAGAAAGCTGGCAGTAGGATTGTGTTGGCTGAGGTTTATTCCAGGCAGTGTCTGTCAGTTTGCCATAGGCAGGGCAGGGCTGTGTCTGAAAAGGTAGGGCCTCCTGCAAGCAGTTGCAATGAGTTCATTTTCTTTCGCAACTGCCTAAAATATAAAAGACATCAGTTCCATTTCTTAATCCCTACACAGAGCAAGATGGATGTAGGTAAGGAAGTGGAAGTGGTAATTGTTCTCGGGTAGTAATGAGGTCATGTCATGAATTAAACCAAGGTGAATTTGTTTATTTGAAACATACCCTAGAAAAAATTTTTTAGACAGGAAATGGAGTAGGTGAGATATGGCTATTCCAGAAATGCTGGCCAGACTTTTGGGAAAAGTGAAGGCTGGATTATGAAAGAGGCTTCTCAAGCAAGGAGATTTTCACTAAGAATGAATTGTGCCCTGTGTCATCTCATCTGCTGATCCTTTATGTTCATCTGTATCATTGCTCCATAGAATTTTCTGCCATCATGCAAAATGCCTGTTGCAAAAGGCCCTTTAGTAGAAGGAGAATGTTCCAGTTGTTATTTGTCTTTTGTGTGTTTTCAGCTGACGAATCCCTTGGAAGGACACCTGCCATGTTGTTTGGACTCAGCAAACCCAGTTACAAATACACAGTAGAAGAATACAACAGGACACAGAGCCAGGTAAATAAGATCTGTATCTTGCTTAGGAGGATGGAGAGGATGTGCTTTGTTAGGCTTCATTTTAACTCTGCTATTATGCTTTATGCCACAAAAGCTGATTTCAGCCCTGAACAGTCTACCGTTGGAGCATATTTGTCCCTGTAATGCTTTTTTCATTGTTTTGCTTAAAGCTATTTCAAAGCTTTAGTAGATTTTTCAGTGTGATTATTAGTTGATGTGTTCTATTACATGCACCAGTCCTCCTGTGCTGTACGTTCTGAAGTTACTGCATTTAAGCTGAATTTCGATCGTAAATTATGTTTGAAAGTGAACAAACAAGAAGTCAAGACAGCCTTACTGGTTTTATTCCTCAAACTGATGAAGTGAAGGTGTGCAGCAAAGGTGATGTGAATGCATGGCCAGATTGTTCACTTCAGTATCAGTTCTGGTAGCAGAAGCAGAAATCAAAGTTGGTCTAGGCTTTGGGGAAAAATATTGGCCCCAGTTTTGGTGCCAAAGTCAGGGTATTATTGTGTTGGAAGTACCTCCTGAGGAAAAATCTCAAGAAATAGAGAAGCACCTTAGAAAACTTAGTCTAACCACAAAGGACTCTTGGGAGTGTGTGTGATATAAAACCTCTCCCAAAAAACAAATTCTGAGATGTTTTTCTGTCACCAGCTCACTTAAAGTCTCTAAAGTACGTTGCTCTGTTGCAACACTCGTGTTTTTATTAGTGTTGTTGGCTGTTGGGTAATCCAGCTGAATAATGTAACTCCAATTATCCTTCACTAATTCCTGCCAGGAAGAAAATGACCTGCCCTGCCTTGTTGGGCTGAGAGCTGGTTACTGATGGCTGCGACAATGGTTATTGTAGTGGACATTTAGCTGATTAAAGGCAGGTCCCAGTGCTTCTTGAGGAAACACTGCATAGATGATCAACCAGCTGAAACTTTGTAATTAAGGATGGATGAAAATTGTGGTGAAGTCGAGTTTTTCTAGTAATAAAATTCTCCAGAAAATATGAGATTTTTTTTAAATGAGGGGGTAGAAGATTATCAACTTTACATTGCTGAGGTCTGCCTATAAATGAAGGGGTCCCCAAAGTTGCTTAAACTGTCTGAATCTGTATTTCAAGTTCTAGTTTGATAGTTTTACACAGAATTTTAACTTTAGAGATAAATCAGGCACAAGCTTTTGCAATTTAGGCATGACACAATTTCCTTGAAGGCCTGAAGTACCAGCTTGTGCCAGCTTGTTCTTTAAAGTGAAAGTCTGCTTTGAAAAAGGGGTATGTAAAAATGGTCATGTAGTTCTCAAATTTTTAGGTGTGATGTAGCTCAGTTTTAAAAGGGGACCTCACACCTGGCAGCATATTCTGAGATCTTCCACTTGAGCTTGATTCTCATTCATCAAATGCTATTCTTTCTCTTTAACAGTCTTAAATTTGAACCTTCGATGAATAAACCTATTTAACTGCATTTTATATGGATTGTGTAGGGGAGGGAGTAACTTGAGAGGAAAAGGGTAGCAGAGGAGGCTTTGCAGTTGGCACCCTGCTCGAAACATGAGCCAGAGGTGAATGCAGCTCACCCATCCTGCTCCAACACTGACTTCTTGCGGCTTTTTGCTGCTAAAGCAAAATTGGTCCATTTCTAAAACATAACAGCAGATTTGTGAATAGTGTTTTCACACTGTTGCTTTTCAATATTTATTTTAACTATGTTTTGTGACTTCTGGTATTGCAAATGTCTTGTTATTACTTCACCATATAAGCAACAGCCATAAATCAGCCGTATGTGATGGAGCCTCTGTGCTCAATGTGACTAGAAACACTGGGAGGACTATAATTTTTTAAGTGCTCCTAACAAATAACGACATTAATTGCCTTTTACATAATGAACATTCTACTATTTTGTCTTTAGGAACATGGAGATGGTAGAGAGAGCTCTGAGAGAAATGACATGGACTCTGATTGAAGAAAGCCAACTTGGGGTAGAGGGTGTTGAAGACAGATCAGTTAAGAATACAGTGGGTTTCTCCCAAAGGGCTTTTGCAAATATTAATGAAGTTTCAGAATGTGACCCAAAAAGTGTCTCAACTACTAAATACTGAATGTTGCCATTCCAATATATCTCTGATTAAAGTATTTTGTAGGCTGTGAATGGTTATCAAGCCATGGCATAACACATCTCCTCCCTTTGCCCAGCACAGCAAGATTTTACTGTTCAGTAGAGAAAAAAGCAACACAGTCATTGAAGAGAAAGAGGGCTTTTGTGAGGACGAACATGACCTCTGTGGCGTATACCACTTTATTTAAGCTAAGGAGATAGCTGGAGCTTCTGTCATCTGGTTTCAATTTAACTGAAGCTCTTATTTGCTATCGCACAGATCTTGGTTCTGTTGCTAGCTGATCACTTCTGAATATAGAAAGCCTAGTTCTTGGGGCATTACAGTGGAATTCAATATGCCGGTATACCTAAATCAGACTGCAAAGTCCTCTTTTGTTCTCGGCAGCTGCACATTTTTTTTCTCATTCATCAGAGTAACAGAATGAAAAAACCCAAGAACTTTAGCTGACTGAAAACATGTAAAATTTACCTTTTAAAATATTCAGCAAATCAGGTGACTTGAACACTAATAATCATGATTTTATTAATTCTTGCTGTCCAGATTCTGTATTTTTTTTTGCAAACTAGAATGTCAGTCAGTATTCATAAGAAGGTAAATTGGCTTTATAGATCAACCAAGCTAATAAAAGAATATACTTATCCTAGTTGATATGCTGCTTCAGTAATCTCCTTATGAGATACTGAGTATTGTCCTAAGCTACTCTTCATTGCGCTTTTTTGATTACTTGTATGCATGAAGAAAATGAGAAGAACATCTGGAAGAGTGGATTATGGAAAGTACTATGCAAGATGAGTTTTCTGGACAATACTTTTGAAGAGACGTCTAAATTATGCTTTTCCATGGTAGTTGAGAAAATTCATGTCCAAAAATTTGGTTTTGCATGCGCCTATGTCGTTTCTGAATAGCTAAATGGAATACACAAGATTCTTCAGTTGCTGGGTTGTCAGCTGAAAATCTGTATCACTGCTATTCTGTTGAGTGTGTTAAGCTAATTTTTTTTCCTTTTTTTTAAAAAAAAAAAGGTTAGACATTGCAATGGTTTAGAGCATCGGGATTTTCTACAAGAGTAATATTCCCCCAAAAAAACTTGTTTTCTTTCTCAACCAGTGAAACACAAGTTTCAGAAATACAGTCACTGAAGGCAGACATTTCATTCATCTACATGCAAATCGCCACTATAAACCATGCTTGAGTCTCACAGGGAAGATTGCAAGTGACACAACCTCCAAGCAAAACTGGGAGCTCAGCCTGCATAACAACTGCTGTAAGTGATTGAAAGCCATGAATTTTCCATCACTTTCTCACAGGCTGCCAAGTGTCTTGTTTCCTTGGCATTTCTGTTTCTTCCTAATTTCAGAACCAGAGAGTTGAATTCTTCACCTTTCAACTCCTGCTGTATAAACCAGTGGTCAGAATCAATAAATGTTCCAGTTAAGATGGCACACTGCACAGGTCATCATGAAATATTGAAACTTAAACTATTTCCATTACACATAACTGTTGTCTTATGATTTGTTTCACTGTTTATGATTGTCTTACTCTTGCTCATTAAGGCCTGGGATTTGATAAAGTAATGGTGTGGTCAAAGCAGTGGAATTTATTCCCATTAGTCATTCTCTCATCTATTTTATTTGTTGGGGTTTTTTATTGTGTTTTGGTGGGGTTTTTTTCCTTTTTTTTTTTTTTTTAAATGTAACTTCTCTTCAGAATCATATGCCCAGTGGAGAGACAATTTACAGCTGTGCTGTTCCTTGTTCGCATTCTGAATTACAGCTTGAAGGGAGGGCTCTGATTTCTCCTTTCAGCTAGTGCCAGTGCTGATACCACCGTCTAGGGGAGACTACTGTTCTGCTTGTAGCACAACAAACCTTTGGGACGCAACAACCATTTCCATCATCAGTTTTGATGTTTCACTGCAAAGCAGAAAATGCCCGCACTGTCCCTTTGCTTGAAAAGCTGCTCTTACTGGTTCTCTTGATTCATAAGTAAGCAAAGCATAACAGAGGAGCCTTGTGATCAGCCATTTCTGTCTGGGTAATATACACAGTAGGCTCCATTTCCACCCTGATCAGGTTTTGGCAGGTTGCTTCTCTTTGCTGCTTCTAGTTTGTACCTGATGATATCTATGTTGGCAAGTCAGGGCTAAAGGTGAGATCTGGAGGGAATCTTCTGGTGAAGGGCGCCTGTTGTGAACCTGCTCTGTCAGCTCAGTTGGGTTCCACTTGTTGAAAAATCAAGTGGAGCTGTTTGCTTTACCTCTTTTTGGAAGGCAATTGAAAGGAGCTTTTTCTCTTCTCGTGGCATCATCTTCGTCTATTTTGTTATCCATGAACAGTCACGACTATATGCAAACTGCTGCTAATAACTGAAGAATAAGCCCATGGGGCCCCAGCCTAACTCCTTCTCTCTGTCACCCCAGGGCTTGAAGTTGCAACGTAGGCAGCAGATCCCTATTGCCAACATCTCTGGTGTCTGGTCTGATGTGGCAGCAGTTCTATATGTGCCTCCAAAAGAGGCAGCTGAGCTATGATCTGTCCACCTCATTCCTGTGCTTCAGCAGCTCCGCTTGGAGATCAAGTCGGGTTTTGCCAGGCACTGCACAAACATGAAATAAAAAATGGTCTTTACCAGCAAGAACCTACTTTCAGTTCATGAGAGATGATAGCAGATAGTGCACTGCAAGTGAACTGGCAGCGCTCATGCCTCCGTATGAGCTGGCAAGGACGAAGCAGCTGTGAAAGAGGGAGCTGAGTCTTCAGTACTACATGCTTTCCCCAAACTCCAGTGTTCAAAAACACCATGACCTATATAGCTTTGGACTTCGGCATTTTTCAGCAGTTTAAGGATTGACAGGTCATTTCTGGCACTTTTCCCCTCTGCTGAAAGACATATTTTTTAGTTGTTGACAAAAAAGAAAAAAAAAAAAAAAAAGAAAAAATAAATTCTGGATTGCAATCTATGTCCTTTTTAATGGTTTAAAATGTCTCTTCTGCAGAAGAGCTAGCCACTCTTTCATCAAACCTGCAAAGGTAGGTTCTACCATGTTATTATAAGAAGTCTGTGCTAAATGCTTTGACAAAAACCCTGCATACTCTGAAATGAAATCTTATTTACTGTGGTGTTATTAAAGTGCTAAGTAAACAGACAAACTCAGAAGGGCTGGTAGGATGTGGGTGGATGAATAAATGAGCTTTGATGCCAATGTCAGTCAATGCTAATTTGTATCCTTTGAAGAAATTGTGATAAACACAGCTGCCAGAAGTGTGATCTGAAATTTCTCTAATTAAATTAAATTTCACTGGAATAAAAGCAGCTGAGCACCTTGCTTTGTTTCCTTTATAGCCAGACTAATTGAGAGAATAATGACTTTCCAATTCTTTCATGAACAGGTAGGAGGGTAAGTTGTGTTAAATACATATAAGGATTTGATTACATACAAAAACTATTGTATGAAATTCTGTATTCACATTTCTTTTATTGTATTTTCTACTCAGGATTTGTATCTTAATTTAGAATCTGAGATCTTCAAGGGGGAATTATCTGTACTAGCTGCTGAACACTTTCTTCATATAAATATGGGAGATTCTAGAAGTTCCTCATGTTTGTCTCTTAAGTAAGTTTGTTCATTAATAGTAAAAGACAGACAAAGGTTTTCTGGTGGTTTTGAACTATTTAACTGCTGATCATGGACTGGGGATGAGCTTAAGAAGTCACTATAAAGAAGGACATCAAGGGAGAAAAGATGAAACTGAGGATGGGTGATCTCTGGATAATCCTTCATTTTTTGTCTCCTCGATTCAAAAACCACCTTGCTCCTTTTTGTAGGTGGATTGAAGGATCTGTCACTCCAAGCTCTGCAATTTTACTTTTTAAGTAAAATTTTGATTGGGCTCTGATCTGGATGGCTATGCCTTTTTGGACGAGCTGAAAATGAAGCAGGGTGATAGAATATTTCAGTTTTGTTTTGAGTTTTGGGGTTTTTTTGGTGTCCACTGTTTTATGAAGCAATTTAATTAGTCACAGAGAGCAGCGTAGCCAGAAGTAAATAACTGAGGTAGGTAGATATCTATCTATCTATCTATCTATGTATTTGATTTGTGAGTCCTATTGATTTTAAATAATGTAAGAGACATCTGTGTCAGAATTTAATGCTATAAAATAAAAATACGAATAGATATATCTCTAGAATTTATACATAGAAATCTTTTATTAATTTACAAAGATAGCTTCTATCGGTGCCATCTATCAGTTTCCAAAATGTGTTAATTATGGCAAATCGAGCTGATGAGGAATGCCATTAGGTACAGCATCTCTTCCACGCGTGAACACTAGATGGCACTGAAAGACAGGAGTTGTGGTGTAGAAGCGCCTCTTAAATTTCTCGAGGTTGGCATACTTCAGTGGAGAATCGCCGAAGCACAAATGATACCCTGTAGATCTATTTTGTGAAAAAAAAGGGAAGGTGTCACAAGAATTATAGAAACTATATTACATGACTCAGTAGTCGCTTGAGCTGATAGAAGAAATCAGCCCAATTAGAGATTAATTGGCAGAATATGATATTAAGCAACCAGGCCTGGCAGCAAAGTCCCTCTGCAGCCAGAGGCGCCAGAGCTTTTCCTCTTCCACTTGCTCATGCTGCTTCACAGCAGATAGATCTCCTCTAAATTTTATATGCTCTCTCCCATTCACTGTTGTGCTCCTTGAGTGCCACTCTAGTGCCAGACTTGACAAGAGTTTAAAACCTCAACCTCCACGGCATTTCATGCTCTGATCCTACCCCTGCCTGACCAAACACACAGAATCTTGGGCTGATACAGGAGATACGCTGCTCATGTTCAGGATGAAGTTGGAGTCAGAACTCAAGATTATAATAAGCCTTTAACAAAAACCATGTTAAGTGAACCTCAGAGGAAGAACAAGGAAGGGAGGGTGTCAGCGTCTCTGACTCAGGCTGCAAATTGGCTTTCAAACCATCGACAGTCTGACCTGGGGTGTTTCACATGCTTCAGAGTGACTTTTAGAGATCTGATTAACCTTGTGATGGGATGAAAGTGTAACAGCTTGTCATGTGCGAGGGATCCCTGAAGATTATCCAATGTTTTATTTTGGTTTTAAAAATTATGAAGACGTACTTTTATTCCAACTGCTAAAACAAGCACTCAAAGGTTAGGAAACTCTGTCTCTGAGTAACAACACAACCGTATGTCAGCCTGTTCTGTGCACTAAATGAGGCAGAGGTCCCTTGGGACAAAAGGGTATGCAATCATGTAATTAAAAACTAAAGCATATGCATAAAATGGCACAATTATGGCTGCAACAAACTTTTCTTAACATTTCAGCACTGGATTTACCCCGCCTAGATAATGTTTTCTATGTGTGAATTTTATATAAAATATTAACATTTCTATAAAAGATCAAGGACAGTGCGGTGCACGTGTGGGGATGCTGCAGGGGCCAGAGAAGGGATCTGTGTTACAGCCTGGGCTGAAACCGTTCCAGGGACACTGTGGCCTGTGCTGTGTCCCGAGTGGGCCTGGCTGCTGAGGTCATGGGGGAGGCCGAGGAGCTAGCGTGGGCTCCTTGTCACGCTCCTCTGCCCCCTGCTCTTCCCAGCCTTCCCACCACGTTCCCTGCCGCGGTGGTGCCAGAGACCCTCTCCGACCACCTCAAGTTTTACGGGGCTGCTGCTGAGAGTGTCAAGTTTAGTTTCCTTACTTAATTCCTCCAGAAGAAAACCCACCAGAATTTCCACCAGATTTATGCTCTTTCTCTTGTCGTTACTACAGTTTTCTGACACTGAAAAGAATCGTTTCAACCCCAGATACGGCCTTCCCTCGTTTCGGATCTCTTTTTAAAACTGTCTGTGTGAGGCTGTCATTCTTCGGAAGGTTTTAGAAAGCCTCCCCGACGCAACCCCTACCCGCTCCCGGGGCTCGGCCCCGGGGGGAGGGACAGACTCTCCGGTGAGCCCTTAGCCCGCACCGCCCTGCGGCCCCGCCACGCTCAAGATGGCGGAAGGCGGGCGCCGGGCCGGGAGCCGCGCTCAAGATGGCGCCTCTCCCTGCCCCCTTCCCCGCCCTCCCGACGGAGACTTCCGGAGGGAGAGGGCGTCCGTCCCATGGTAACTGCGCCACGGTGGAGACGCTGCCGCCGCGGGGGCTGCTCGCTTCCTGCCGCCACCCGGGCCACAGCAGCGGGCGGCCGCCGCCGGGGCCCTGCCACCGGGCAGCCGCCAGGTACGCACCGCCGGCCCCGGCCAAACGGCTTATTCCCCGCCCGCCCCCGGTCGTGAGGTGAGAGTGAGCCCGCCGGGGGCGGGCGGGCCCTGCGGGGCGGTCTCTCCGCGCCGCCGTCGCTGAGGTGTGCGGCCCCCGCGGCGGCGAGGGCGGTCCCGGCCGCGTCAGCCGCAGCCGGCTCCGGCGGGCACCCGGCGGCGCGGCGCGGGTGGCGGCGGGGCCCCTCAGCGCGGCGCGTGTGGCAGGCAGGCAGGCAGGCAGCCCGCCCTCCCGCCTCTCGCCCGCAGGGAAGCGGCTCCGCGCCCGCCTGCGCTCCGGAGTAGGTCGGGGAGGCGGCCCCGTGCTCCGGTGGCGGCTGTAGCGGAGGGAGTAACCCCCTGACCCGGGGAGAGCGCCCCGGGGATCCGTCCGTCCGCCCTCCTCCCCGGGGTACCGGCGGCTTCTCCTTGGGGGAGGGAGAGCCCTCGCCGGGGCGGAGGTGGGCAGGCGGTCACGGCTGCCCTCGCAGCCGCTGGGCAGCCAGCGCTGCCCTGGTGTCTTGTGAGCCTTATTTTAAAACATTGCGTAAGAGTGAAATTATTTTTTAGATTCACTTATGAATTTTTGTGTTGACTTTAGTGGGCGCTGGGGCTTTTTTTTTTTTTTTTTTTTTTGTTAAAAAAAAAGTGTGCAGACATCTAACTTCTTTTGCTCATTGTGGACTGAAATATGATCAGCCCTTTCGTGTGCTTACGGTCTTTGTTCAGACACACGCTGCTTGTAGTTGCCAAGTTCGTTTGTTAGGAGCAAAGACTGTGAGAACATAAGGCTTACAGGCAGCGGTTTCTAAAGGCTACTCATATGGCATACGGTAACCCCTGACTTCTGCCTGCACAGCCAGTGTTCCCACATGCTGCTGAAGCGTTGCTTCCAGTGGTGGTGGCAAATGCTGGAGATGCGTTGGAGACACCATTAAGGCAGAGGTCTATTCAGATGTGTCTGTCATGAGTAGTGCGCGAGCCTCTTTGGCTGGTGGATTCACTGCAAGTAACCGGTTACTGTGTTATCAGCAATGGCATCTGCAGCTGTTGCAACTAGGTAGCACTGTACCCGGATTTACAGAACGGGTTAGCTCCAGTGTGAAGGATGGATCACCTGGTGGTTTCTTTTCATCTTTCTCCTAATAGAGGAGGAGAGGATATTAGAAGTTTAATTAAAAACACTTCTGTGAGGATGGGAATAGGACACTCAGAATATTTTCTCAGCCTTGAAATAAGATTGAAAAATACAATTTTGTAAAATGGTTGATGGTTCATGTTGTGTGTTAGCAAAGGAGAGCCAGCTCTTTTCAGGAGAAGGGATGAAGACTTGGCAGTTACTCGGTGTGTCTAGTGTGTGTGTGTTTTAAGGGAACGAAAACTGTCTGATTAGAATTACAAGTAACTTGTTATACAAAATCTGGCTTAGACAAACCTGTGAAATAGTAACAAGCACTTAGGATAAGGTATCCAAATGACCAGTGGGCTTATAAATGTGCTTAGCTTCAATAATGTTGACTGGTGGAATTGCAGGGGAATGAAAATGCAAGGAAGCAATTGGGACAGGTAGGGCCTGGGAGTAAGGTGGGATTTCTTAACTGCGCAAAGGGACAAGAGCCTGAAGCAAGCAGCCTGCAGTGATGGAGGTGGAAGAGATCTAGTGTGAAACGCTCAAGGGGGGGGTAACAATCTTTGGAGTGGGGAAATGTCTATTAGGAAAACATGAATACTTACAACATTGGCATTTATAGACTCTTGTGGCAAATGCTTAAGTTTGTAATCACTAAATTGTTGACTCTAACAAATAATAATGATTATAAACATTCACAGTATGTTACAATGTTTATAACATTCACAAGTTTATTGACTTTACATATATTTACATTTTACTCTGAATGTGCAATAAATATGACTTGTGCTGCTTTATTTTTTGGTAGCTTCCAGAAACTGCCACTAGTATTGGGATGCTGCTGTGCTGGTTGCTGAATGTCCAAGTGAACTGAGATACAAATGAAAGAGTCAAACAAACATCCAGGGTCTTTTTTTTTTTTTT